GATGTGTTATCTTTTGCCTTATCAAACACTTGAATTTGTCTCCACGTCGATATCAGATGGTCCTAAAATAAAATTGATTTATTTAAAATAATAATTTACCCTAGCCAGCAATTTATCACATTTAGATGGGTAGATTTTATTTTGGTAATTAAATCTGGGATCCACGTAGATCCTACTTCTAAATACATTATTATTAAACAGATATTTCTACCGACAATCCAAACAGTTAAGCAAATTCTTAGAATATTCATTGTTGATTTCTTCTAAATCCAATTTTCATTCAAACCACAATTTTTAAAAATCGCCTACTATGCAAGATTTTTCTTGTAATTTTATGGTACATATGTATACCGGAGATAATACTGGGAGATAAGTTTGAATTCTATCCCACAGGCGTGAATTAATTAAGGTTAATATATTTGCCCTATTTTTAAGTAAATTTTTTTACTATCTTTTAGATTTTTTAACATTCGATAGGAGGTATTCCACCTAATAACCGTGTACAACACTGGCTTGCAAATTTTTTCAAGGGAATATAATTTTTTATATTTTTGTGATTTAAACAATTTAAGAATCGATTTTATTTCATCGAGGTCTTAAGAAATTTATTATAAAATTATTAATCCTAAATGGATTGTATGGGCACAACAATGCACACAAATGAGCCCAAATGATTTTCTTAAATTATTTAATAAATTATCCATATCATCATTTACTGGTTCTTCATCATCGTGTTGAATTTAAGTTATCAAAAACATATTGAATTTGATTATATATAAGATACTCCTCAAACGAATCACTATCATGTATATTTGAAATAGAGCTGTCATTTTGTCGAATACGAGTATTGAAAAAGAAAAGTTATTATAATTTTTAAGAAATAGTTAAATTGAATAAAAAATTTATAAGGATAATTAAAATTTTTAAATAGTAAGCAAATTAAATGACAATTATATAAAATAATTATTATGGTATGTAAATTTTAGCAGTATAAATAGTAAAATAGAAAATGTAAAAAGAAGAAAGAAAAAGAAAGGAAACTTTTATAATTTTTTAGTTTGATTTTATATTTTTAGTTGATTATATATTTTTACGTTTAGTTTATTTATGTTATTTTAGAATATTTTTTAATTTGGCATCTCCAATTCTGGTTCATAATAATCATTACTTGTTTAAACAATTGGTGCCAAAACCGTGCAGGAATGAAATTCTAAAAAAGGGGGGAGACGGGATTTATGAAATGACCATCGACCTTAAGACAAAGGATAAGATCAATAGGCAAATGGTCGCATAAGAAACGGAAGAGCAAAATTTAGTAGCTATGTGGCCCAGTGATGTATGATGTAGGCTTGGAAACAGAAGGTCCCAGGTTCAATCTGGTAAGGAACTAAATTTTTTCTAGTTTCAATGACGGATGTGTATAGACATATAATATGATGAATTTCTGAGTTGAGAAATGCCACCCCGGTCACCGACAGGCTTGGACAGCCTGGTTCTAGGATACTTGTCCAATCAACCAAATAAGACGGCCAGCTGAACTCGTCTGACATTAAAGGATGATAATTCGTGGCCAGCGCTAGGATAATGGTGACCTCGGGGGGTTCAAGCTCATATCTATCAAGATACAATGGACTTGTTACGATACTCCGGTGGAAGATACAATTGATACTTCGGTGGGAGATATGGAATCGATAAGAATACTCCGGTGGGATATCTGTCGATATAAATACTTCAGTGCGAGATCAAGATACTAGATACTATAGCGATACTCCGGTGGGAGATACAAATGGAATCGATCAGAAATACAAATTAGATAAAAATGGATAGCATGAAATAAAATGGAAAAAGGAAGGAGCTTACTACCTGAAAAGGTGAAAGCTAAAAAGGAAAAAAAAATATATTAGAAGTAACACATGTTCGAAAGAGTATAGAATTAGTCGTTTTATTTACAAGAGATCGTTTTAGATAAAAGAAATTCGTCACAAGAGATCGTTATCCGTACAAAAAGATCGTTATAGCTAAAAGAAATATGTTACAAGAGATCGTTATCCGTACATGAGATCGTTATAACTAAAAGAAATTTGTTACAAGTAATCGTTATCGTTATAAGAAATCTATTGTTATATGAGGTCGATAAGATACAAGTAGTAGTTATCGTATAAGAGATCTTTATTATAAGAAATTGTTATCTTTACATGAAATTGCCATCGTTATAAGAGATTAGTTAGTATCATAGAGGTCAGTATTGTTACAAGAGAGCATTATAGTTATAAGAGATCTTTATCGTAGACAATTTGACAAAAGAAGTATTTAGTGGCTTTCGCAAAAGATGGGGAACTCAATGTCTTAGAATCAGTCATCACATATAGCTAGCCATCCTGTACGGGCAGTTCAGAATGGATTTAGGCGATTTAAAGGAATGGGTGTCGAATACGTGTATTGAAAAAGAAAAGTTAATAATAATTGAAACAGTTAATTTGAATATAAAATCTGTAAGGATAATTGAAATGTTTAAATTGTAATCAAATTAAATGTTATATAAAATAATTAATGGTATGTAAATTTTAGTAGTATAAATAGTAAAATTGAAAATGTATTAATAGAAGAAAAAAAACTTCTATAATTTTTTAGTTTTTTTTTCTGGGTGAGATACTTTATTAAATAACAAATTTCACAATTTTTTCATTTACGAATTATAATTAAAAATATATATATATAAAAATTAATAATATATTAAAAATGAATTAAAAAATATGTATTTATAAAAGAGAAATGAGATAAAAAAAATAATAAAATTTTTTTAAAAAAAGGGTACAAATCACCCTAGAGAAGAGTGAATGCTTAAAAAATTGGACGGCGAAGGTAAAATCCTTCATTGGGGTCCCATGAGATCTGCCTCATTTTTTTCATAGTTTAATTTTATATTTTTACGTTTAATTTATTTATGTTATTTTAGAATGATTTTAATTAACTATATATTTTAATAAATTAATTTGGCATCTTCAATTCTGGTATATATTAATCATTACTTGTTTAAACAATTTTTCTGCGAGATCTCTATATCTATTTGAGAATCGTTAATTGTTTGGGAAGACTTGTTATTAGTTGGTGAAATTCGTTATGCTTGTGAAACCTCATTATCATTCATTTGGGACAAATATTTTAAAAGGCATCTTCACTCTTCAGACTATTTTTGAAATCTCTGTAATGAAATAAGTTTATTTTTTACTTGTTGCATTATCTGGCATCTTATTTCTGTTGCAGCATATTTTATTTTATCAATTACCGTGTTTGTTTCAGGGTTAGCAAGTCGATCAATTGACCAGTCAATTGACCGGAGGCAAATACTCTAAAAAATTTAAAGGAAATAAATTAAATATGTTTAAAAAAGGGAAAAACGATGTAAATATATGTGATCACAATGTTTGCTTATTTTTCGGATCCACAATATCAAGAGGAGAACTCACTAATAGTGAAAATAATGAAGTATGTGATATAATTCAAGAATTAGCTATTTTATAAGGTAGTGATGACCAAAATATTTTAAGTGATATAATTTATTTCAGAAGCAAAAAACAACATGTTTAATATAGCAAATAATGTGGAAAGTAGTCATTTCCAGAAACAATCAATTCCGACCTCAAGTTAATAGATTAAACTTTGTTCACCCTGCCCATTAAGAGACTAACAATTCCTAGTTCTACTTCTTTAGAAAGAAATAGGTCGATTTGGGTTAATATTCTTATGAAAATAGAAATCAATTGAAGATATAAGACATCAGGAAAATTGATTAAAAAATATTAAAGAAAATGATAATATTGAATATAAGACTCTGCTACAGATAGCTACACGTTAGTTATTGAATGACATTGAATTTAAAAAATTAATATTATAGATTCATTTTACTATTATATTCAAAATAAAGTTAATATTAACTTAAAAAACATATATTTGAATTTGGCCACATTTGACCGGTCAAATGCACAACCCTGGTTTGTTTATTGTCATATTCAACGATTGGATCTAATATTAGCCTGAATGATTCATGTTACTAAATTAATTGGCAAGTTGATAATTGCTATTCCACAACCGATTCGTAAACCTAATTTTTTAGAAATTACTTAGAATTAAAATTAATAATTATTTTAGAGCCCTGCAAAATTCTACTTTCAGGTCAAATCAGATTCAAAAATACCTTTTTTATTTTATTTTGTAATCAATCAGATTTTTTATTATTCTGAACACAATATATAAGAAGAATAAATGAAACCCAAAAAATATTTGAAAAAATTAAATACGATTTACTAACAAAAGTAATGATTACAGTGACCCCCCCCCCCCTCTTCCCTCAAAATGTATACAGTATATCACTATAAGGTTTAAAAGAATAATCCACTCACCCCTATATGTGTTCACTTCGTAACTTTTAAAAATAACGACTATAATAAAAAAAAAGTGAAAACCCAAAATTAATTTGATAAAAATCAAATATTGTCAAAGGCCTTCTATAAGTGGACCTAAAGACCTCCTAAAAATTTATGAGAAAAAAACTTTTCTAATAGTGCCCCCCCCCTTCGCAAAATCTTGGCTACGCCTATGAAAGCAAGTAAGGTCCCAGGCAAGGAATAACTTTATTTTCATTGATGGTAACTATCGTTGTATAGTCCTGATGGCTTAAGAGACTAATGTGCACCCGCTAAAAGTGTTAGGCAAAGAACCAACCTTCTTTCAATGGGATGGCAACTATCGTTTAATAGGTCTGATGGTTCAAGAGACTAAGGTACCCCAGCTGAAAGTTGTAATGATTTAATGTGAACCTAAAAAATGAGTTTCTCATGGGCTTGCATTGCTGGCACCTAAAACCGGCACTTTTATAGTTATATAAAAATATCATAACAATTTCTGAATCATATTATATTTTCCAAATTTGACAGAACTTTTATGAAAATATATAACTAACAATCGTACAAATTTAATATATCTATTATTATGTTTATGGAAATATCAGGTAAAATAAAAATATGTTTAATTTTTTTTTTAGATTTTTGTTTTATAACGAAAAATATATATTAAATGCATAAGAAGGATCCGAGAATTTCTATCATGTGAGAGTTAGGAAATACAATATATTTTTTAAAATGTACAAATTCTATGGGTGTTAATTTTTAGAAATCTTAAATGCTTAATTAATTTTAATCATAAGTGAAAATAAAAGGGATTGATAGTTTGATAAATGATTTTAACAAAAATAAAGGTCGACGGGGGGTTTAATTAAAAATTATCTAAAATGTGAAAAAGTGTTATAATTTAAGACATATATTCTATCTAATTTTTTCAAAATTGGCAATATCAGTATTTGTATTAAGTATTTACTAAATTGAATAAGGTGAAAGAAATGCTGTTTTATAACGATTGACAAGTTACAAAACATGGAGTTAATAATAAATAAAACACTCGATACAAAATAGATAATTTTAATAAATAATCATTAGCGATAAACTAGGCCCATTTGTTAAGGTATTTTTAATTGATTTGTATCCAAGTTTTTAAAAAAATTGCACTTTTATTAAATACATTTTAATAAATTATTTTGATTTATACTATAAGTAGATGACGAAATGTTTTTTTTAAAATAAAATATATAAATGTAATTAGGATTCTTTATAGAGCGAAATTGATCTTTGAAAATAAAATTTGTTGTTATAATGTATGGAATTTGATTGGCCAAAATCACATTCTATCTCAATCAATTAAAAATTTTTAATATATTTTTTTACCATAGCTATTATACCTATAAATGAGTTATAAAATATGATATAGACACCATTGGGAAAATTTTTCCCAATCTTTTATTATTGCCTGGAGAATGTAATTTCCACGAATTCTGAGATACTTTTCTTGTCCAACTTTTCGAACGCAGTTAATCTATCATCTTTGCTTGTGTTAATTGTTATATCATCTGATTCTTCGGAAGGGGATTGATTTTGGTTTTGCTTTTAATATTTAAGAGTCATTTATTAAATGGGATTATTAGAGCTTTAAATACTTTTTATAAAATTATCTTATTTTTCTTCAATTCTTATTTATATTACCCTTTCATTCAATTTTATAAAAAAGATTTAAAATAAAACCTGGGCGTTTAATTTTTCTATAATTTCGGAAACTTTGCTATCACGCCTATATTTCTTCTTGACTTCCGATTTATAGTCTTTAGGCGTAAGGCTTTTGTTATTATCTTTAAAAAAATCAGAATCTTTATAAAATAATATAGTGCTAGAAGAGTTATCTAATGTTAAGTTAAACAGGGCCAGGCAGAAACTGGCCCGTTTAGATTTTATAAATGCTTTTAGGCCTTGCCAGTAAAAAGCAGTAGCGTCACTAAGAAGGGACCAGAGGGGCTCAAACATTTTAAAATATTTGAATTTTTTTTAAAAACATCTAAGAAAAGGTCATTTTGAAATTGTTAGCTAAAAAAGGGTCATTTTTAAAAATATAAGCAAAAAATTTATTTTTGAGCCCCCTGAGATTGTAAAGGCTATTGACGCTACTGGTAAAAAATCATTAAACTCAATTTTTCTTATATTTTTATAAATTTCAGTTTGGCCCGCAAAAAAACATAGATCATGCTAGATGCTTCTTACTCACTCTATAGATGTGATCAAATCATTCCTTGAATAATTTATTGTATGAAGGTTTAGATAACCCAACAAAACAATTCTGGTATATTACATGATCCTAGATAATGCCCGCATATAAATGTAAGTCAAACCAGGGATGTGAGCCCGGTCTCCTGAACAGGGTTGCCAGGTCAAAATTTTCAAATTGTGGGAGAAATTCGGTATTTTGTGGGAGTAATATAAAAATTGTGAGAGAAATATGAAAATTGATAAAAAAAAAATTTTTACGGGCCGGCCGGGATTTAGAATTGACTTAGTTATCCGCTTATTATTTTTTATAAATATAAAATCGAATCTATTTTCCAAAATAAAATAGGTAATTATTTTTCAAAATAAAATAGCCATTTAAAATAAAATAGCCAACTATTTTTCAAAATAAAATAGCCAACAATCAAAATAAAATAGCCAACTATTTTTCAAAATAAAATAGCCAACAATTTTTCAAAATAAAATAGCCAACTATTTTTCAAAATAAAATACGCAACTATTTTTCAAAATAGGTAATTATAGTACGACACAAAATTTCTTAAATACTATCTTTATTATTAAAATAACATATTGATTTATTATAATATATTAATTTTGTTTAAAAATAATAACCAACGATCTTTTTTAAATACAAAAGAATGTAAACAAGATAAAATTTTATAAAAAAATTGTAATTTTACAATGTAAAAAAATATATTTTATGCTAATGTATAAATAAGATTTTATAAAAAAAAAAAACAATTTTAAATTTACAATGTAAAAAATAATTATAATCAGTGCGGGGAAGTTGTTCTACAGTATTTAGTTAATACAATGGGGGAAGGGAATATGATATTTTGAGGCATCAAAAATCTTCAAAGCATAAATCAGTACAGGGCAGTCTATCAAAATCTATTGCAAAACAAAAATATTCTTCAAAAATAAGAAATAATACAGATGCAACTACAGTTGCGGAAATTGTAAATACCTATCATGCAGTACAACATTCAGAGAGCTACTTAACATCACAATGTTGGTAGAATCTTTCCCCATAATATTTAACGACTAATATAAATGAAAAGTATACTTTGTAGAACACAAATGAGCAAGGCTATCATCAATGTTTTAGGATATAAATCCAGAAGGTCAATTCTTGACGATTTGAAAGATGTGCAAACATATGCAATTCTAACAGATGCATCTAATAATGAAATATCAAAACATTTCCCTTGATTTTCCCCTATTTCAACAAAATTAATGTCATTTCAATAAAACTATTAAAAAAATTTTCTCCAGATATGAAATATCCAAAGATATAGCTAACCATATATAATGGTAAATATGGCAGATTTGGCATTACCAATGAATTGCATGGCAGCTTTCTGATCTGATAATTCCTCAGTGAATTTGGCAAAAACCAGAGTTTATTTACAGAATTAAGTCAGCTTAATGTTGGTTGACAGGTTCCTCCTAATACGCGCCATCGTAGAATTTTAAAATTTTACAAACCTTTAAAAAATAAATAGATTATAAAAGCTGTCCTAATATTTTGAAAAAAATTTTCAAAAATAAATGGCAGAAGTATATTTAGGAATTTTACATATAGGAAATCCACTATATGCTGTTAAAATGCAGTTGCAATCAGAAGAATATAATTTAATAAAGGTTCACTAAATTATGCTGCAGAAATACCAAAGTAAGAATATTAATACTATTATCGGATAATTATTAATAAGATTTAATATGATGTCATGGTTGAGGAGATTGTAATGCTACTTTATTTTTATGATTTGCCAAAATATTCAAAATATTAATTTCACAATGTAAAAAATAAATTTATTTGATTTTATGTAAATGTATAAATAAGATTTTATAAAATATAGAAAGTCAAATAGTTATAGTTAATTATATTTTATTTGAGATTTAAATAATGGAACTAAACGTTTACCGTCGTTATTAAGATATTTATAAAATTCCTGGCATGATATTTTATAATTTTGTTTCCATTAACTCGGCCTCTAATGTTGTTAAAGCAATTCGATTTCTCTCCTTTCTTCAGGCAGTCCTCATCAGGCTAAAAATGTGCTCCGATGAGGCATTAGAATGAGGTAAGGAGAAAACATACTGGCAAATTTTTTCTAAGCATGGGGATTTATCGTTATTACGAAAAAATTCCACCCATTTCTCCTCTGCTTTTAGACCATCTAACTTTAAGTATTCTGGCGAATCATAAAAAATGGAAAAAATTACAATCTCTTCAAACAAGGCTTCAATGTCTATCGGTAATTTTAATAAATTTATTAAATTACATAAACCATCAAATGATGGTTTCTGTTCCAAGGTCATAATATTTAAACATTTGTAAATAGAGTTATTAAAATCAAATTTTGATTGTAAATATTCTAAAATTGTCTTAATAAAAATATCTGCTTCATTTAAAAATGTATTAATTAGAGTATTATTTGAACATTTTAATATAATATTTTTAGCAATAGCGCCATAAAATTTATTATCTATTTTTAACTGTAGAGATGAACAGAGCTGTAGCATGATTTTGTGAATCTTTATCAATAAAGAATCTTCAAATTGCAGCAGAATATTAACTACATGAAATAGATTTCCTACATGTGAAACTAATTTTAAATATGCTTCTGACATTTCATCCTCGAAAAAATTTTCCAAAATTTAAGGACAGCTTTTAAAATCTTTATTTAAGAAGTATTTCTTTAAAGGTTCGTAAAATTTTAAAATTCTCTCGATGGCAGGTATTAATGATAACCACCTGATAGGTACATATCGCAACAACTCACACCATTCCAAATCAGACCACTCCACCAATTCTTTTAATTCAGTGACTCTTTTAGTTGATGAACTAAATTCGTTAAAACATTTCATCACAATTACTTCGACATCCACTGATAGTACATTCATTGCCTTCTTGCAAGAATTATACAGTATATGGCATATACAGCCAATTGGTATTAATTCATTATTGTGCTGCCTCAATTCGGTAAATACACTTTGATTTTTGACAAAATTAACAGAGGCATTATCAGCGCAGAAAGCTGACATGCAACTCATTGATAACCCTGAATCAGCTATATTTACCATTATGTGGTTAGCTATATCGTTGGATTTTTCACTATCGGATGAAAAAAATTTCAATAGTTTTATAGAAAAATGTCGAGTGGAGCACTGCAATTTTAGATAACGTTATAAAATATATTAAGTAATTTAAATATTTATAATAATTATACATACTGTTCTAACTTCTATTCTTTCTAACACAAAAATTTTGAACATGTCGAGTGGAGAATTGGAGAATTTTATAAAAAATATATTTTAGAGCGGAAAAATAAAATAAAAGAACTAGACATATTTTTCGAATAAATATTTAAAATTTATTTTAAAAATATAAAAATAATCAAATACTGTCTCTCAAAATTATTATTTATATATAAAAAACATTAAAATGCAAAAAAAAATTGTGGGAGCTTTTTGTGGGAGATTTCTAATTGTGGGAGTTTTGTGGGAGTGAGATGTATGTGGGTAAACTAAAAAATTGTGGGAGACTCCCACTGATGGGGGGAGACATGGCAACCCTGCTCCTGAACCCTGGTATTTTAGATGTACCCGAACCTGGACCCTTTTAAAGTGGAGAGTGGTTCTGGGTATCAAAATAATATCAAAAATTATATATATATATATATTTTTTTTAAAATTTTCTTTTAAATTCATGAAAAATAAATTAAAATTTTTTTTTCGATCATTTTTTTATCTTTTCCTATTTTTCAAAATTTTAAGGTTTTTAAACTTCTATTTTATCGGTAATTGTTTTAATTTATATCAATTTTAAAAGGTGATATATGTGAATTTTGTAGTGTAGGTAATAATATTTTATTATAAATGAATAATTTTATAATATGCTATATAATAGGAATACGTTGCTTATCTTGTTTTATATAAATTTTAGAAAGTATAATATTGGGAATTTTGCAGCAGGCACGTAACCAAGCCCCCCTCCCTGTTGCAAATTTGCATGCTCTCGTAAATATTATTTAAAGGTAATTAAAAAATTTTCCTCCTACACAGCCCTCACTCCAAAAAATGTAAAAAATATATCACAAATTTGAAAAATTAATAACTTTTTAAATATAAAATTCAAAATTTTTAGAAAGAAGCTACAATACATGGACCTAATGTGGGGGGGGGGGCACCTAATAATTCCCCCTCCCCCTAAAATGCTTGATACACTTATGTTTTGAAATGTAGGTAATAGAATTTTATTATAAATGATATTAAGGGCTATGCGATTAAGTAAAATATTTAAAATAGAAATTAATTTTAAAATTTTTTATTTGCAAATCATGCAGGTCTATTATTTATAAGTAGTATAAAAAAAATAAATTGTGTAATTTTAAGTTAATATTTCTTTATGATCTCGAAATCCTGAACCCGAACCCTTTTTTAAAATTTTATTCCATAACCTGGATCTGGACCTTTTTTTGTCGAAGGGTACACATCCCTTAGTTAAAGCATAATGATGAAATTACTTTTGACGGGTTCCTTATTTGTGGACGCTATATAACTCTGTCCGTATTTATGAGGAGTAACGATAGCCTCCGGCCTTCCACCGTTATTGCAATATTGATTTCCGTTATTATTGTTAGAGTTGAAGCCCTCGTCGGTTATATTATTGATTTTGTAATCGTCTGAAATATCGCTACCCACGTATAGGGGTAAAGTGGCATCGTTAAATTTTTTCAAATCATATTCGTCTTCTCCATCATTTTCATCGTCTTTTTGATGATGGAGTTCTAAATCGCAATTTTTCTTGAAATTTTGAGTGACCGCTTCGGGAAAAGGCACTTTCGGGGCAATTTTTTTAATCTTCGAATTCACAATGACTTGATCATGAGGCAATACAGCCGCATTTTTGTTGTTAATATTAGAATTGGTCTCTAATCCACCTAGAGTGGTCTCATTAATTATATTATTATTCAGCTCGGCGTTAGATTTAATTCGGTGATATTCCTCGATTTGATATATGAGTTGTCCCTCTCTCCCATAACGTGATCCCTCGTTAGCATCAACATTTTGGTCAGCCCTAATATCGTGACTTGCTTCTATAACTTTAAAATGATTCAAATTCGCTTCATTTCCAACAAAATAGTTGTAATTCTGTCCATTGTTTCCTGTTGGTTTATGATCATAGCTCAAATTAGTTTCTCCATTTATTCCATTCATCGTTTGTGGCTGTAGCTCTTTATTTTTCAACTTTCTAGCTTTAGCGTTCCGCCTTTTGCCCCGCCTAACTTGAGCCTGCCTACAAAAAATAGCCGCCACTACCAAGAAAACGGATCCGCATATGCAGGTAGCAAGAACTATGGCTCTAATTTGACCGGCTCTGAAATATTGAGAATCGTCTTTAGAATTTCGATTTAAAATTGGAATTTGATCTTCGACAGTTTTTAGATTCAAAATATTGTCTTTGAGGCTGTTAACATTATTTTGAATATCATTATCATCCCGCGATTCAATGGCCTTATCTTTATCCAATCGAGTAAGGTCTGACAAAGAAATATTTTTATGATCATGGCTACTTTCAAATTTGTCGTAACTCGTCAAGGTGTTCAATTTTTGTGTCTCACTGCTATTTTGGCGGTTAATAGCGTCGGGGTTTGTTATGGGTTCGGGCATATGGTGATGAGTTTTCGTATGTTCATTTAAATTTATCATTTGGTCCTTTTCATTCAACTCATTTTCCCTTGAAAAATTGACATTTTCTCCAATTGGCATAGGAGATTGTAAATCCTTTTCCCCGCTAGTGGCAATCTCATTATTTTGAAGTTTGAAAGTTGGAGAGCTTCCAATGGTGGTATCCTTAAAGTCGCTAATTTTTTGAGTAACCTCATAATTTTCTATTATATGCGTATCATCCAAGTCATCTTGGAAGGTGGAGAGCTTGGAATGTCTGCTTACTACATCAAAGTTGTTATAAATATTTGGGGATGTACTAATGGTACTTAAATTTTCATACTTATCATCATAGTTGATTTCAACTTTTCTCAGCAGTTCCGGTATTTCGCTAATTGACCCTTGATACTCAATGGTTTTATAAGGAGTTATATAATTATAATCTTCTTTATCAGTATTCTCGGAGGGATAAAGAACAGTCTTGAAAGCCCGAGGAGAATCAGAAATTGTAGTAGAATTTGCGTCAGTGTCTGAAATAACCGTTTTCGTTATCAAATCGTTTCCTCTTGCCTCATAGGTATTATTTAAAAGGTAATTTGTTGTAGAACTGTATTCAGTCTTAATATTAGTAATGTAATCTGTCTTGTAATTACGTGTGAAATGAGAACTCTCAGTTTCTTCTGATGTTCTTGTTTCCTTATAACTTACTTTAGGAGATGTGTTGGTAGGATAAAAATAGGGTGAAGTGGAAAATCTGTTACTATCATACGTTGAGGATGAAGGAGCAGTTCTATTACTATAGTAAGTGGTAAACCGATTATTTTTTTCATCATTGTAGTGATAAATCGGAGGCAGTTTTGAGTAAGCTATAGAACTGTCGCTATATCGAGAATCAATATAAGAGTTTCTTTGATTGCTTCTCTCAGTCACAGCTTTAAGAGTCGTCGTTGATGTGCCATAATAATATTTGGCTGTGTAATCATTAGTTACATCGTATATGTTTTTTGAATATTCATCTGATCCATTCTCTTTTTCTTGTATCACTTCTCTTAAGTGATTATCCTTAGTATAACGATAAGAAGCCCGCGGTATATATAATGAAGCTTCTTCTTTTTTAAACAAAATATAAAATAGTATATGAATATTTAAGAGTTATTTTTGGCTATGCTAAATGTTTTTGAAACCATAAATAGGCTATGATTAATAATGTCAAACGTAAACAAAATCAATATCAGTTAGAAAATATTGTTTTAAATAGAATTCACTAATAATTATTTTGGCAAAAAGTATTCATATGATCATGGAAATATAATAATTTAGAGAAAAAAAATTTAAAAAAAACCTTTACTAGTCTTTTTGTTTGATTCGTCCACAACTTCTTCCTCTTCTTTCAACTGCAAAATACTATCTTCCTCGCTTTGCTCTTCATTTTCACTTTCACTATCTACTAGATCTATAACGTCTATCCCATCCAAAACTTTCAATATTTGATCCGAATAACTTTCTCTTGGTTTGACTTTTTGTGTGCATTTTTTTGAATAAAATTTTGATTTTAAAAAGGGAAAGAATCTGTACTATTCATTTCAATTTATTTTAGAACAAACTAAACCCTACATATAATAAACAACCTGTATCATTCAAGAAAAGAAAAAAAGTCGATCAAAAAAAGGAAAAGTCCCAAAGTCTTAAAATCCAATAAAAAAGAAGCAATCAAATAAAGAAAGGTTAGACAAACTTTGATTAACTCTTTTCCTTATTTGATTGAGCCTTTTACATTTCGAGTGGACTTTTTCCTTTTTTGAATGGGAAACTCTGTGTTACAACCACCCTACCCTAATTCATTAGCAGTTATTTTAGCAGGGAAAAAAAGGAGCTAGTAGCCACATTAAATAGCCATTTAAAAAACTGAAGAATATCAACAGCTTAATATTCGGGATACAGAACAAATGCATTTTTGCTTTAATGGTGTTCATGCTCCGGCCAAAAAAATGTTCCATTCCAAGTTTAGGAATGTGTTTCTAAAATAATATCCAATTTTATTCATATTTTATTCAGTAATCTTTATAATCACATCTCTAAGGGATTATCATTTATATTTGTGTTGTAAATTTAGATGTTGTGGAATTTTACTATTTAACGTTAATTTTATAACACAATGGCTGAAACTATTTTAAATTTGACAAAAATAAATATTTTTTAAATCATTATCATATATACATTACAAAAGGTGCAATAATATTGTTATATGTAACAAAATACAACTTAAAAAGTAAAATAATATTTATGAGCCAATATAAACACCATACGCATAATTATGAACTCATTGGCGTAGCCATAATTTTTTCATGGGGAGGGGGGGGGGGTTAAAAAAAAATTTTTTTTTGAGGGGGGGGAGGATTAAGTCCCCAAAACCTCCCATTTTTTATGAGCAATCAATTGCTTATAAATTGGGCTATGTTCAATTATTTTAAATATTTGCATGTAAAATTTTTTTAGAGAATATATAAAAATACTTTAGCATAAATAACATTCCTCTATTTAATCATGTATTTATTTTTATTATTTCAAATAAATTTCAAAATATAGGTATTTTACACAGATTATAATATTAAAAATTTTATTGTATAACTCTATTTTAATAAAATATAATTTAACAATTACATAAAATATAAGTAATTCTTATGCAAATAATGGTATTTAAAAAAATATGACCATTACACAGTACTTTGATTAAAAATAGAATTAATTGCATAAATTTTAAGAATACAAAAATTATATAAATGTTATAACTAAGAATTCATTTTACGAAAAAATTTGATTATAAATATTATATATTAAAACTAATATATCATATTGCAATTTTTTTATTTAATTTATAAAGAGATGTCTATTCTCTGAGATTTTGTTAATTCATCTAGAGTAAAATTTTTATCTAGAATAATCTCCATAAATATTTAATAGGTTATCCATTTTAATGTTTTTCACCAGGTTTTTGACCTTTTTATAGTTGAAAATAATTAATAATGTTTTGATATTAGGCAGGGAAATCTAGAGCATTTTTTGGTCCCAAAGAATACTCTGTTGTCAAGATTTTTATACCAAAATTCGACATCACAAAGTAACTTATCATATGAGCCTACTAAATCATCAGCGTATAACTCTGAGATTTTCTTAATAGCCTCTCATGTTTCAATGTAATCAACAGTTTAGACTCAACCGGCAAAAGAAAATAGAAGCTTTTTAAAATAAAATTATGACTAATAAATCTTTCCTTTAATTGAAATAAAAATGTATCAATAAGGGGAATAAAAATGTTTATTTTATAAAAATCCTCAATCGGAGATGCATCAATATTTGAGCGATTGGATTGTCTAGAAACTACTCTAGGTTTAAAAATTTCGATCCAAAACATATTATTTCATCCACATTCTCTCTGATATTTGTTAATATTTCAACAATATCCTTTTGTTCAATTGATAACCTCCCTTAAATCCAAATTAATTTTTTGTAGCATTTTGCTAAAATCATATGTACATTTAAATAAAAAATAAACACATTGAAATGATATTAAAAATTGTGGCTTAATAATAGCCTGCAAAAGATTCTCAGCATATGCTGAATCTTTTTCCTTGCTTGATATATAAAATTTCAGTGTGCAAATACAACATCAGATAGTTCAATAAAGAGTTTCACTGACTCTTTTCTTTCAATGAATCTAGTCGGACAAAATCTTTTTGGTTTCTTTTTTTGATTCTTTAAGTCAATGTCATGATACGTCTGAATAAACATGTAATATGACAAACTTAGACAAGTTTTATGCAATGCGAAATAATTTAAAATTTATTTAAAAAAATATAAAAATATTGTAGACCAATTATTATTTATAATAAATAAAATATAAAAATAGTTGTTTTTTAAATTTCAAGTTTTTATTATCACTTTAGTAAATTAAAATAAAAAAAAAATCCCCCCCCCCCATGCCTACACCACTGTATGCACTAAATTAAAACGTTGATATTATCTTTCGAAAAAATTCAGAATAAATATTCCATAAATATACTCAAAGTTCCGTTCCCGTAAGTTCCCTTCAGGGTCACTTTAAAAAAACACTTATCTTTATATTCGTATTACCAGGTTAGAAGAAGAGCCAAAATTTACCACTTTTTAAGCGCCAAATTATTAATAATAATACTAATACATACAATATTTTACAATTTTTGTAAATTCTTTCTTTCCTTTTGGCTGCCTAAAAATGCGCAATATATATTTCTTACCTATGAGTTCTTATAAAATGCTGTCTAATTAAATTTAGAAATTCAATTAACGTTAACAAAAATTTTATAGTTAACTCTTTAAAAGGAACCCCAGCCTTTTAATAGCGTTTATAATCTCTAATCTTTTAATAACGTCAAAAAATACAATTTAACTCAATCATTTTTTTAAAAATAGGCAAATAAAAGTAAACATAAATACCCTCAACAGACAGGCTATACGCATCTATTGTGTACTCTTGCCCTATCGTGTCTACATTGCCAGTATCTTTAACTTTTGTGAAATTCTTGGCGCTAGTTACATTGACTTCATTCGGTAAAGGGGTTCCATAGTAAAAAGAATCAGGAAACGTATCCAATATAAAGGCCTTGAACGCGGTGGGAATTATTTCTTCGAGCTCCTTGATATTAGCTTGTCTTTCCTGGTCTTCTTTACCCGTTCTCCAAGAATGGGAAGGATTTGGGATTCTTATTTCAACTTCCATAGTGGTAATTACGCTGCCTTTGCTAAGAAAAAATAAGTAATAAAGATTTTGGAGAAATAGATGAATAAATGTAATATATATTGATATATTTTATTTGATGATTTTATACCTATGTATAAGGTAAGTAATAAATAGAGTTAGAGATTTGCAAAACCTGGTTCGAATCGGCCGTTAAGAATTTTTTTCATAAGTTGTCTGGCCCGTTGTAAATTAAAAAAAAATGTCTAGGCCGCTTTTTAAAATTTTACGAAAAGTCAAACCCGGCCTGTTAAATTTTTTGTACGAATTTTTCGGCTATTATATTTATAATTTCCATATCTAAATTTTCCCCAATATTAATTAAGGTTATATTTCAATGCAATTTACCAATAATGTTTAATAACATGTATTTTTACATACGAATAAAATTAGGTATTAAATTAATCTATCATATTTCACTCTGCTATTGTATAGTACGATCTTATTCACAAATTAAATCAGAACACTTAACCGGGTTCAAACCAGTCTTTTTTTTTACTTAATCCGAACCTTTGATCTAACCAGAGAAAATAGGAGCTAACCCTGTATCTAAAAACAGAACCTATAAAATTGAACGAGTTTGAATCCCTTATTTAATCTATTGATCTGCACACTGGCCGGGCCTTATTTTAATTTTTTAAAATACTCAGGCCGAACCGGGCCTAAATGTTTTTTTTAAATACCCGTGCCGGGCCTTATATCTTAAAACCTAATATTTTAATCGGTCGTCATTATTAGCTATAATCTCTACCAAAATCCTACCTTCAGCCTCATCGTGGCGGGGAGTGGCAACGTCTTTTGGTGGCTAATGGGATTTAAAAGGTTCTCTGGTTTGGGTCTAGAATACGATCACCGTCTCCTCGACGGGATGTAAAAACCACCTAAAGGGGTTAATGTCAGGAAGGGCATCCGATTGTAAAAACCCTTGCTCCAAAATTTCCTAATGATTACAACAAAGCATGGGTGGGATACTCCGTGGGCCTTCTCACGCCTACGACAAAAAGAAAGATGGGAAACCTGGTGAAATCTCGATTCGTGAAGATCAAACATATGACAGCCATAAACGACCTGATAATAAGTGGAGAAACCAGTTAACGGGGTATAGAATAAAATTTGTGACATGGAATGCTGGGAGCATGACGGGAAGAGCGGGAGAAGTGTTAGAGCACTGCATAGAAGGCGTATAGATGATGTGTGTTAAATACAAGAGTCCAGATGGATAGGTAATGGCGCTAATGATTGGCAAGAGAAGTAAAAAGTATAAATTTTTCTGACAATGAAGTAATGATGATATGGCTAGTTTTGGAGTAATAGTAGCAGAGAAATGGGTGGACAAAGTTATCGAAGTGAGAAGACTTGATAACGAAATAATGATTATCAAGATGATTTTTGGTAGAAATTTATGCAATATTATTTAGGCATATGTTCCTCAGGTTGGAAAAAATGACAGAAAGATATATTTTGAGACAGTATATTGGATATGACATCGAGATTGGCAAATGAAGAGAGGCTTATCCTAGCTGGTAATCTGTGAACATGTGGAAATGAGTAGTGAGAGTTATGAGGGAGTACATGGAGGATTTAGTTACGGGATGAGAAATCCAGAAGTGGAGAGAATTTTGGGTTTTGGTGATGCTATGGATATGATTGTTTGTAAAGAAAGAATCAGAGAAGCTAGTGATTTACAAGTCGGGTAGTACTAAAAGCGCGGTAGATTATTTGTTAGTAAGGAGATGTGATAGGAGCATAAAAATGTGAAAGTTATACTGAAAGAGTTAGTTTACGAAACGGCAATGAAAGCGGTTCACGAAGCCAAATTGGAAAGAACAGAGATGAGGATGATTAGATGGATGTGTGGGATCTCTGAGAGAGAGAGAAGAACTAACAAGGAATTGCGAACAAGAATGGGCATAGAAATGAGTGGAGTGGTAATGCGAAAAAATAGACTAAGATGATTTGGGCATGTGGAACGTAAGATAAAGATGACTGGGTAAAGTGATGCACCTTGATGGAAGTAGGAGGATCAGAACCTAGAGGAAGGCCCAAGATGACGTGGATAAAGGTGATAGCGGCGGATATGAGAAAAATAAATCTTACAAATACTGATGCTCAAGACCGTCAAAAATGGAAAAGAAAACCAGAGGGAAAACTGACCAACCTGGGCAAACCTGGAAATCGCCATTAAACCATAAGAAGAGGTCATTATTAGCTATAAAAATTAAAAATATATAATAAATATTTAAAAAATTCATGCCGGGCCATGCAAATAGTACCTCTGCAAGGTCTCTGATATTTATATATAGTGTATATATAAAATGGTATTCACTAAATCCATAATACAGATAGTGGAAAGCACTTAGAACGAATTTTCAAAAAAACTTTTCAGCACGCTTAAATGATATGAACTATCGAAGTCACTGACACTGAGTGCAAAAAAAAATAATTTTAGAAAATTGTTTACCTGAATGTAAAATTCGATATTTTGAAGAAAAATGGGAATTCTCGGAACTTCCTTTCGTCCAACTGTTATAAATTATTATATATTTTTTTCATATAAGCGACTGATAAATATTAATATATAATAATCTATTAGCATCAATGTGTTTTCTCCAGTAATACGTTATATTTTCAACTTAAATTTACTAATCACGATTTTTTTAAATTAATATAATTTTTAAAATGACTCGAATATTTATTGCAAGATTGCCTGAAATTTATAGGGTATGTATTCTACACACACTGGAATACATTTCAGGCAAAATCGGATTTTAAAATGTAAAAAAACGCGCTAAATAAATGATTCATAGTTTTAAAAATATTTAAGTCTTCCTCTTCCTTTATATATATTTTTTTTTAAAAACGATAAGTTTTAACTTTCAATTCTTAACTCTTGGTCTTTTCCTTCCATTCCTTCTTTTTACAACTTGACTATATAATTAACTTACGATAATAGCTTTTATCTTCCATTCCAAAACTCTATAATCCCTATCTTTTTTATCCATCAACCCGTCAGTCCAAGGCGCCCGTGTCATAATAAAATGAACGAGTAAATACATTTTTTCGTCAGCGTAGTCCAACGTCTTTTCCTTCTGATTTAAAAAAAAAGAAAAGGTTTATTGTGAAATAATATGAAATGTTAAAGATGAATGTTCTACAATTTAAATTAAAAAAAGCTTAAAGGTGGCTATTAGAGGTCTGTATTGGGTGGGCGAGTTGGTTAAAAATTATTTAAAGAACGGGCGTGAGTGGGCGGGTTAAAATTTTTTAAAGAAATGGCAGTGGATGGGCGGGATAAGAAAAATATTTAAACTATGTGTGGGTGGGAATGTTAAAAAAATTACAACTTTTATTTGTTATTTAAAATCATTTAAGTAACTATTGAAAAAATATGCTCCCTGAAATTTTAACATTTTTAATACCAAAGTATAGATTGAAGATATTGTCGTCGGAAGAAATTAATTAGGTAAAAAATACATCGAAAACATGTTGAATTTGATTTGCATGGTAGAATATACATCAATATGGATGAAGATCTGATTTTACCCGTTTTCCCAAAAGCAAAGATGATTCAATTAAAGATTAAAAAATTTTGAAAAAGGTTTTTTTTTCTACGACAAAGGCTCGCCATAGCAATCCCTAAAGCCAATTATATCAGCTTCAATGGTAGTCTAATAGCCAAAGAGCCATCCTAAATCCCTTTTTTTCCCTCTCATTATACCATCCCCGTTCTTCATTGGTATTTTTAAAAAAATTTTTATTCATATTCCTTTTGTTGCATTTTAATATAAACTTTATTTATACGTTCATATATTCATTATTTTTTATTATATACATTTGATTTTTAATTCAAATTTATGTGATTTGATTTTGGAATTTTCATATATATATTTTTTTTAATCTAGTTTTTTATATACATTACAATATGTGTTTTCTTAATAACTTATATATTATTTGTAATTGATATTTTTTATATTGAATTTTGAATTTCTTTTATATTAATTTATTGGATGTTTAATGAAATAAAAGAAAAAAAAATTAAAGATTATTATATTATAAATGCAATATAGAGAGCATCCACGTCAAAATTAACCAACAACAGATGGGAAGATGTAGCTGTTACAAAGGAGAGCATTACCTAATGACATAACAAAATATTTAAATTTAAAAGAGTTTTTGTATAATTTAGCAAGATTTTAGGCTACTTAGTTTAGTTTAAATTTACAATTTATAAACAATTAATTTAAATTGCTTTTATTTATTTATTATTAATGTTGACTTTTTATTTAAATATCTCACTTGAGTATAGGATATACAAAAGGATGTCCTAATTTGGTAGAAATGACAAGAAAAAGATTTATCAAAGCTATCAAGATTAGCTAGAAAAATATCGGCGAATCCAGCAACCAGTACTTCTTCTCAACAAGGAATTAGCATTGCTGTAAGGTTTTTAGTATCAATAAATATGAATTTTATATTATTACATAAATATTTTATTAGATAAATAAATTCCTTATCCTTAATTTAAATTGAATATTTTTTTAATACTTAATATAGCAATTTCCTAAATTATAAAACTTTTTTGTAGGGATGTGGCACTGCAACTAAATCATTTTTTTTCATTAGATGCTTAAAAAATTGGAAGAATGAGCTTATTTAAATTTTATATGGGCGGTGTGAGTTATAATAAATAATGAGCGGTGTGAGTTATAATAAATAATAGGCGGGCGGGTAAAAAATTTTAAACTAATGGACGGACGGGTAAAAAAATTTTGACTAATGGGCGGGCGGGTAAAGAATTAAAAACGACAGGCGGGCTTTGGGTTATAACCAGCCATGTCAGACCTCTAGTGGCTATAATGATTCGAATATTCGTATTGAGGTTTATATAGAATCAATTATTATGAATAAATTATAACTTTTATTATAAAATTTAAATTTTTGAAGAAATGGGTAAAAAAAAATAAACTCAATAAACTCATTATTCGCTCTCAAACATATCATTAAAATATTCGTCGGGACAAATTAAATGTATCAATTAATAGATCACAAATAGTTTATTTTATAGTGGTAATAGAGCATAAATTTTCCGTCATTGAATTTGAATTGTGACTTTATTTATGGATGTTTAATTTTATTACGAGATTTTTATATAATTCTGAAGTAACTTGAATGACATTTGGATTTGTGGGTAAATTGGTGTGGTTGAGGCTATTATTGTATGATTTCGTGGTGACTTCAGCTAGTTGATTTGGTATAGGTGGGTATTTGATAGACGATACAATCTCTGTTTAATATAAATTTGGTTTATTAGAATAACATATTCTAATATTTTTAAAATTTATTAATATAAAATTTTACCTCATAAGATGTAATTTAAAACTTGTTATTATTTCAAACTTATATCATTTCAAACCTGTATTGTATAGTATCATCCTAATCTTATTTAACCGTTTAAAATGATACTTTATATTATACAGGTTTGAAATGATATGCACATTGTTTGAAATGATATTTTTAGAAGAAATCGATAAACCTTTGTTAATTTAACCCATTTTGGACCAAAAGTGAAAAATGGGAAGCAATTTTGGCAATGCTATTCTTAGAGGAATGAAATTGTATAAATATGAATCAGATTTAATATTTTATTCAAAAGTGAAGTGATGCAAGAACCCGCAGGCATCATGAGGTGTTTAGGGCCTCCTGAAATGATGTTATATTAAAAAATAACGGTATCTTTTATTCAATCTCCAACATGAAGTGATAGAAAGTTGTAATATTATCGGTAAATATGATATTATTGAGAAAAACTATTTGAACATTTAGAAAAGCTAATAACTTTTCAGAAATCTGCAGTAGTCAACTATTTGAGCATGGACATGATTTTTAAAATTTTATTACTTAAACTTTGGCTTTAGGGAGACTGGGTCTAGGTAAACCCCCATTTCAAAATTAAACACATCAGAAGGTTAAAAATTTATCCTAATAATAAACAAAAAACCTTTTGAAATAATTTATTAAGAATTTGATAAAAAATTCAAGATTTATACATGACCGAATTTTAATTTTTTATTAAAATAATGATAATTTATATATAATTTAACACTCTTTTATAATTTGAGAAAGTTTTATGAGTATTTATTATGTCTAGATATTATTTCAATCATGATAGTAAATTTGGAGCTAGCGGGGTTTGCTAGATCATAGACCTCAACCCATTTGAATTATTTTTTAGTAATTATTACATTATTCGATGGTGCGAAAATATAAATATAAATAAAATTAATAAAGGTCATTTTATATTAATAATTATCTAGAAGTATATTAAAATTTAATGATTGATATTATAATGTAAGTAGGTGTTGAGATGTCCTGATTGATTTTTTAAAAATAATTTTTTCGCTATCTATTAATTCAATATTAACCTTACGGATTGATTTTTTATATTAACCTTACGGACCCATTTTATAATATTAACTCAATAGTTTGCTTATATAAATTATTAAATAGATTTTTTATATAAATTGATTTTTATAAACTATATAAGCATCAAAATATATTGCATTTTCGTTTATAATTTTTTAAATAAATAAAAATTTTAAAACACTTTCTTAATTTTGTTCTTCTCCCTGCCAACAACCTTAACACTAAGATAATAAGGTATAGAAGATTGTAAATCAACAAGGATCACTAGCCAACTAACAGGTAAATTTATCTACATTATTTGTCTTATTTTTAAGGTATAGAAGATTGTAAATCAACAAGGATCACTAGCCAACTAACAGGTAAATTTATCTACATTATTTGTCTTATTTTTAAGATATAAACATAATAATTTTATGTATTTTTAACAATATAATCAGATTTTAGCAATAAAAATAGAGATTATGTAAATAAAAGACAAAATGTAAAAAAAATTAAAATATTATTTATATTTAATTAGAAAATTAATAATATAAAATAGTTTAGTTAAATTTAGGAATAATTTTATAGGATTTGTCGATATATTTTTATAAACGTTAATTTATTCAATTTGGTATTCGTATATTTAATTTAACTCGTATAGTGAGTTAAACAACTTTTATTTAACTTAACATTTAAAAATTACTATTCAAATTTATTGTGTATATATATTATGAATTTGATAATCTAGACAGATATAAATGTATTTTGATACTTTTACTATTTTAAAAATAAAATTTATTAACCAACTCTCTGCCTACCACGATATATATATTATTTTTAAATTTAATCTGTAAATTTTATGTTCTTATATTTTAACATATGATTGATTAAAATTATGATGAAATATAGTATTATTGTATTAATTTTATATAATTTTCATACAATAAAATCTAATTTTAACAATATTTAATAATAGAGATTATTTAAATAAAAATCTAAATGGTAATGGTAAAAAGTAGGGTTTTACCGATATTTTATATCGGATCGGGCCGATATTTCACCCATTTTAAAATATCGGTTATCGGCAAATATTATAAAATTTTCCGATCCGATCCGATAAAAAATGGCGTTTTTAACAAAAATAAAATATTATAAAATTTTTTAGAAAAAGTTATATCTAAAAAACCATTTATTTTTATAAATAAAATTGAAATCCATTTTTATGTTTAATTTTTTTAATAGTAATAATTAGTTAATAAACATTCTGCCATATAGTTATTTTTTTTAGCATTCTGTTTAAAAAAGTGTTCAATAATCTTCAGAATGTGTTTTTAGTGATGCTAGTGATATTGACAATCCCCATCACCGCAGACTGATCTCTGATAAATTGGAAATTTTGGTATTTCTAAAAAGAAATCTTCGATATATTAATTTTAAATATTAATTTCAAATTTAATAATATATTTGTATATTACTAATTATGTAAATAGTTTATGTTATTATTTATTATATAAATAAGTAATTTATCAATAAAAATATTTTATATACTTTTAGAATTGCAATTGAATTGAATATAAACTATAACTGATCATTATAATATATTTAAATGACATATGTTATGGTATAGTAAAATTATATATGTTATACTAATAAAAAGTATATTAAAAATTAAAACCATTGGTATCTTTACAGAATACAAAATTAGATATGATATCGGATCGGTAATCGGCTGATATCAATTTAATATCGGATCGGCCTCCAAAAAGTGGTATCGGTACACCCCTAGTAAAAAGATTAAAATATTATTTATATATTATTTTTAAATGTAATTTTTAAATTATATGTTCTTATATTTTAACAACGATGGATTAAAATTATGATGAAATATAATATTATTATATTAGTATTTAATTTATAATTAAAATAATCTAATATTTTATTTGCATGTTTATTTTAGGTATTCCAAGATCGAACTTTACGAGATATTACATTTACAAGAGATAAACTAGCCAAATTTTTTATGGCCTCTCAATTAAAAAGGTATAAATTTATTCTTCACTATTTATTATATTAGATATTTAAGCTAGATTATATAAAACATCCTAAAGGCGAAGAGTAGTACCAATGTAGAATGTGCCAAGAATGGGTACATGGTATATGTTCAAACTAGAGGTGGGCCCGGGCCTAATTTTTTATTCACGGCCCGCCCGCTTACGATGGTAATAAAAAAAATTCACGCCCATACACGCTTACCACTAAAAAATTTTCGACCCGACCCGCCCGTTCACGAAAATATTTTGATTCACGCCCGAAAATTCGTGGTGTTTTGTTCTATTAAAAACTTAAGACTTTTGAAATTCGGATCTAGAATTAGGACTGCCTTATATATTAGCTAAAAAAATCTTGTTCTGTTTTAAGGTTTTAATTATTATTGTATCACGTTTAGGAAGTTAAGAAAATTTTACTAATTTTTGTTTCCATAGATAAACTTCATTTATTGTGGGGCGAGAATCTGCCCTCAGATTATCCGAGCATTCTTTAAATATTGAAAAAAATTTATCTAACTCGCGGATGATGTTGATATCAATTGTGGCTAATCTATTTAATTCTTGCTTGCTAAACAAGTACACCTGTATTTCAGAATATGAATTTAAGAAACTCTGTTTCATGATATATACACAGTTCCATCTCGTTATTATATCTTGTCTAAGGGTGTGGCTTAGCTTGCTATAAGCTGTAGATTGTTTGAAATATTGTACTATTTTTTTACACCATTTATTTTTAACAATTGTCAAAAATATAATGCAAAATAAAAATATTATTTAGTACTAGCGTTTCGTCATCTTTGAATACCCTTATAAAATTTGATCCGTTATCAGTCACGCAACTATACATAAATAATTTTTTACTTCTCTGTATTCTTCTAAAAATTGAATTGATTTACTTTTAATATTGTCGCCTGTTTTTATTTCCCTTATGGCCAAAATAAATGTTTTCAATTCAAAATCCTTAATGATAATATGCCATGTAATGATTAAAAAACTTCGATTTTTATAGTCATCCATCCAAAAATCAGTGGTTATTGACAAGTAATTATTATTGATCATGCTTTTAATCTTAATTTCATGGTATATTTTTGGAGTTAGAGTATTCATGAGAGTTTTCCGACTCACAAGTACATCTTTTATATTTTGTTGTCCAACACCAACATTTATTAACCCTTGGCCTAGCTTGTAAAATTTGATTTTTACAAATGAAATATAACTGATTTTCTGTAAAAAGTTTAAACAAAATTTAGCAAAAAGTCACGTGATAAAACACCTAAACATAAAAAGAATATAGAACTAGTGGCATGATTACCAGATGTTGTTTACAAAATACGGAAGATTTTTGTTTTCAAAAATTATTATTTTTTAAAAAAGGAACTAAATTAAATTTAAAAAAATATATTATAATTATAAAATTGCAAATTTATAAAGAAACAATTTTAAAAATTAAAATTTCCGTGGTTCACGAGAAATTTATGTTCACGCCCAATCACGCCCGGGAAAAATTTTGGGAAAGCCCGTCACGCCTAATTATTTAAAATTTATTCACACTCACGCCGCGTTATTTCACGGCTCGCGCCCCCCTCTAGTTCAAATTTCGATAATTTTTTATATGTCCAAAATGTTTATTAAATTAACCAAAATTAAGTTTCAATTTTTATATATAATTAGCTTTAATTAATAAGTATTATGATATTTTGAACAATAAAATTATTCTATACGTATCATTATTAATAAATAAAAATGCATTTTAATTCATTATAGTCTAAAAAACTAATGGTTAAGGAAGCCCCTTGAAGTGGTTTATCTAACCCCCTATTAGGGCTTGTTGGGTCCATTTTTACAAAAATAAAATTTCAAATATGATTATATTCTTAAAATTTTTTATAAGAAGGTATCTATTCATATATTGTTTTTTATAATATCCAAAAAAACAAGGAGTTATAGTTGATTTTGCAAAAGTCGGTTCGAACAGTCTCAGTCACCCCTTTATTTTGTAAATTGTTTCAAAGGGAGATTGAAAATATAAGCAGCAAATGAATTTAAGACGATTATTTATATGATTCTATAAGTAATTTATTGACAAAATTTAAATTTATTTTTTAAAAATTGACCCAGCCAGGGTTTTGTAAAAATTATTTTAGGTCCGCCGGTATTATAAACGATACCCTTTTACAGCCCACTCGGGGCAGGATTTCAAGACATCAGGTCTCTGATAGTTTTATAATATATCATTATCCATAATAAAATAGGTCAAATATTTAAGTAAGTAAAGGGAGGGGAGTACATTCGTGTTTTAAATAAAAATGGATAGGAAGATTATAATATTTTGAATAATATTTTGTTTTGATGAAACAAATTCAAATTCTAGACGTGGGGTTTCCATTCGAAAAAATCGGGTCAAAAAATAATTCCCAAAATGGGGATTGGATAGTCTACTTAGGGGCATGATGTGAGATAGAAACTGCTGAACCCCACTGATTATAAAAAAATGGCGATTAAAACTTGTATATATATATTATGATAATAATTCCTGAAAGGTTTTCGTGGAAAACTAGCTGTTTATATTAGTGAAAAGTGTCTGGCCCATTCTTAAGCATACCGAGTTGAGGGGCTTGGGTCATTTCTCTCTTTTCTTAAAAATAATTTTAATGTAATAAAAAAAATTCCCCACATTCTTCCCACCCCCCTCTCTCCAAAAAATGAAGTCACTATAAACAATAATTTAAAAATAAATAAAAATTAATTAAAATAATGCCTATATAATTCAAAATTTAAAATATAATCATTTTAATATAAAAAAAAATTCTTCTTTAAAAAAGGTAACCCAGCCAAAGGCCTGCAATAAATAGACCTAAAACCTTTCAATAAAATTTATGTGGGAAAACCCACCTAATAGTGCTTTTTCTCTTTAACAAATCCTGGGTAGTTTACAGACCCATTTCTTAATGATAAAACCAAATAATCATTTTATCGAACATAATAAGACTATACATGATATAAAATAAAAACCAAACACTTAACCTATGTTATTAAAAAATAAAATTTTTATAATATACTTTTCATGGCATTCATATCGGGATTGCGACTCAAAAAAGATTCCTTCCTAGGACTAACATAATATTGCGTAGTGAAATTATTATAAACAGGTGATGTTAAAGTAAATTTAGTAATTTCAGTTTCTTCACTTTCTTTTTCTATTCCTTTTTTACTTTCTTCTTCCCTTCTTTCATCTTTTTCATCCTCATTATGATTAATTTGATACCAATTTAGTCTCTCGGGAGTAGATGTGATATCTAAAATTTTTAAAAAAGATGTTGTATTATGTTTTTGGCTTTATCTATTTTTAAAATGCAAACTAACTTTTGCGATTTAATAAGTGTAATTTGTTTTTTATTAATTCTCAAAAAGTTAATTATCTCATTTAAAATATAGTAGTGTTGTAAACGAACGCGTTCAAAGTTCGTTTTTTGGAAAAAAGCGATGAACGGCGTTCCTTTTTTTTGACGAACTTTGAACGTGAACGCGTTCATTTTCTTTGATGAACGCGTTCAATTTTACGTTCGTTCAATTTTAAAAACACTTTTTATTTTTATTTATTTGAAAAATTAATATTAATTCGCATTTTTTAAGAAAAAAGTCTTATATTTTTATTTATTTGAAAAATTAATATTTAATCCAATTTTTTAACAAAAAAGTCTTATATTTTTTAATCAGCTGTTTTTACTTTTTCCTCTTTCATATTGCAATTAACGTACCATAACGTGCTACTGCTAGAGAAGATAAGATTAAAGTTTATTAATTTGAATATTTTATATTTTAATTTAATAGATTAGCATTTGCATGGATATAAATATTTCATCATCAGATTCTGAAAATCAAAATTCAATATTAGATGAATTAGAATTACCATGGCCCAAATATCAAAAATATTTCACTGTATTAAAATCAATTCCGAGATATCCTTTTTTTTTGACGAGGAAGAAGAGGGCAGATTGGAGGATGATAACATAGCTCAATTTTTTGAGACAATGGATAAAACATTAAATGTTTTTAATAAATTCCCCCTTTTAAAAAATCGTTTATCAAGTATAACACCGCAATCCCTTCATCTGCCCCTGTTGAGCGAGTTTTTAGTATAGCTAACGCTGTATTAACTGCCAAGCGTTCATGCCTATCAGATGAAAATTTTGAAAAGCAATTATTATTAAAAATTAATAAGAAAATTTTTTTATAAATTTATTTTTTTATCACTCTATTATATTGTATTTATAATTATATTATCAAAATAAAACTATTATTTTTTATCATGGCTAATATATTGTGTTGAAAAATATAGGGCATTTATTTATATTAAATTAAATTTTAAAAAAAATTTATCATAAAATTTTGAACGCATGAACGCGTTCATGAACTTGAACGCGTTCCTTTTTTTTGAATTTGAACGTGAACGCGTTCGATTTTTTTAAAAATGTTTACAGCACTAAAATATAGCCATACTTATGGCTGAATGTAGTAATGCTAAATGGCTCGATTTCGACGATTTAAAAACAGCTAGCCTAAATATTTTCACCTCAGCCTCGAAATCCCTACAATGAATGTTTAAACCTTTTTGCCAGCTCTGGGCAAAATATGTAAGCTTGGATAATATACTTTTGGGTAAAATATAGAGTTAGCCGTTTTAGAAAATTTTTTAAATCTAGTCATTTTAATATAACTAGATTAATGTGACTCACTATATATTTTAAAATCCTTTTCTTGTTGCAGATAACAGAAAAATCACATTGTTGCTCTATCTTTTAAAATAATTCGCTTCTTTTTAAACAGTACAAATAAATTGAATTTTGGTTCCATTTATGAGTTTATTATTATGAAATTATGTATAAAATAAAATATTTTTCTAAATATTGGCCCGATCCGATATTTAATATCGGCATAGTTTAATATTAAGTATAGAATTTAAACATAAAGTTATAAATGCTCAAACAAAATGTTGGTAATAACCTGATATATGAGGATTCCTAGTTGGTTCAATCAAAGCACTAGTAGATGATTTTATCAGTTCCTCATTTACGTATTTATCGGGATTAAAGCTTTTATTTCCTCCTTCGGTATTAATATTCTGCGGGGGATTTTTATCGATCGCAAATAAATTAGAACTCAGAGAAATTATATCATTATCACTGCTATTTCCAAAGTTAAATATACTAGAATGATTATAAAAACTGGTTGACAGATCTGATTTATTAGTAGTGGCGAACGATTTCTGAACACTAGCTACCGTATTAGTTAAATTAATTTCCCATTCAGCGCCCGCTTGCGTATCGTTAACTCTTTCATCTCTTTCAACGTGCCTATATTCTTCGTTATTTTTATCATGCCCGTTTATAGAGAAGGTGAAATTATGAATTCTATCATTATCGCCCAAATGTGTAGAGTTGAAAGCTTTATTTTCATCCTTAGTCTTGTCTCCCTGCCTCAATCTATACTCATATTCCTCTGCTTTCGTATCTTTCGAAAAATTACCAACATCAGGCATATACTCATTAACATTTGCGTCATCGTGGAAACCATGACGGGAAGATTCATTCGTGTACAGTCGAGCGAAAGGGAAGAAAGAAAGAGAGGAACGTAAAAAGGTCGAATTATTAAGGGTAGCTTGATTATTATTAGACTCTTCATCAATGAGTAAAGGACCTACAATGATATTTTCATCCGAATGCTGGGACATATCGCTTCCCACACCAATCTTGGTTACGTTTACCAAATATTTTTCACCGTTAACTTTGTTCGGTATACCGTTGTTGTTACTTAGATCGTAAATATCGCTATTATTATTAGCTCCACTATTAGAAACGGTTAGGACTTGTCTGTGATTTTCATCATTCAAAATGGAGAGATTGGTTTTCGTAAAGTCATTTACATTGAAGATTTTCTTCACTTCAATGCCCTCAGCAGTATCACTATCAGTGTTGATTTGTTGAATTTTTGCATCAGGTTCAACATCTTGAACAACATTCGGTCTCTGTGTATCATAAGGTTTGGAGGTGATGACCACACTAAAATTGTTCGCATTCACGTAATTAACGTTATTTCTATAATCGAAATTTCTTTCTGTGGTTAAAATCTTATTTTCTTTTACTTCTACAATCTCTTTGATTGCGTGACCATGGTTACGATTGCTCACTAAATTACTTTTAAGTTGGGCGGCTAAGCTAGGATGACTATTTTCGGTTATTAATGTATTGATAGAACTGAGGTTATTTTGTGTATTCGTCCTATTTTGTACGAATTGTCTAGTAACTTGGGAATGATAAATTCGATCAGTTGTAATATTCGATTGCGAAGGAGGCAATCTTGGATTTTTGGCTAGATAAGCTCTAAATTTTAATCTTTCAACGACGGGCCTACATACAGTTGTGCACTGTTCTTTGCTGTCAAATCTCATTTTTAATTTTTATTTGGCAAAAAAATATATATAATATAATATTTATAACTTAATAATTCTAAAAAATAAATATGAACCAGTCTAAGATTGCCCATAAAATGGTTATAAATTTCTTTCCCCAATTTTATAAAGGAATTATATAATATTCTTATATAATAAATATTTTTATTGCAATCTAAACAATCTGTTAATACAAAAAAAATTACTTCAATGTTTGTTACAATCTATGCTCACACTATATCTATTAAATAAGATCGCTTTCAAGATTTTAAAAATTTTGACCTCATGCCCAAATTCATTTTTGATCATTTCAGTCTTAAAACGAAAAAATAATAATAAAGCATTTTCTAATTCGTTTAAGAGAAAGGAAGTTATTTATTTGAATAAAATCAAAATAATTTTCCAATCGATGAATAAGAATGTGTTAAATTAATATATTTTAAAACCTTATCTATAATGTTACATACAGCCTGCAATGTTGTATTGCTTTCTGAAATTTTTAGGATAGATATTTAAAACATACTACTGGAATTCAATTCTGGCAAACATTTATTGAGCGTGTATTTTAAATTTTCTAAAAATCACTTTCCTGAAAATGGAATTCAGTATGTGAGGAATACCAATCTCAGAAATATACTCGTATTATTCGTTTTCCAGTGTGTCTACACAACACATGCATCGAGGAACAATTCAAAAATATTGACTTATTTCTAGCGATAATTTCCCTAATGGGAAACAACCTTTTGAGAAGATCATTTAAAATAATATAATGTTGTAAATTAACCTATTAAGAGAACCCCTACAACCCCCGTAGGCGAATTGAATGCAGGCGAGGGTAGTTGTATCGAAAAACCATTTAGAAACGTATTGGAAGCAAGGGCCGGGATCGGGAGTGAAAGTACAAAATTGTGTTTTTGGCGTTTCTTTCACGTAATCTATAATATTATTGTATGATTTTAAAATTGGTTATGTAAATTTTGGATTACCTTTTTCTTGTTTGATGTAGAGAGTTAAATTAAAATGAACATGTTTAAATATAAGGTGTTGATAATCAAATGATATTGATATCAAATAAAATTTGAGAAAAACTGGGAGTTAAGTTAATGACAAGAAAATAATGGGTTTAATATAAATCATGGGAAAGAATCATGAATAATGATCGTAAAGGGGGGGGGTACAGAAACAAACCGGCATATTTAGATAATCCTAAAGCCATAAAATGCCTAGTTTTGTTTGTTGTATATTATAGTTTGTTATTTTGGTCTTTCGCCTATTCTATCTTGATATTCCCTTCTTATTAATCTTATTTTAAAGGATGTATTAATAATTTATAATATATAAGGGTGTTGTAAACGAACGCATTCATTTTGAACGTGTTCGTAAACGAAGTTCGTTTTTTTGAAAATGATGAACGGCGTTCCTTTTATTTTTGACGAACTTTGACCATGAACGCGTTCCTTTTTTATGACGAACGCGTTTGAATTTAACGTTGGTTCAATTTTAAAAACACTTTATATTTTTATTTATTTGAATATTAATCTGAATTTTTTAAGAAAAAAGTCTTAAATTTTATAATCATCTGTTTTTCCTTAACATTTCAAGTTTCACGCCATTATTATAGTTAATTAATTTGAATATTATTACTTATATTTTAATTCAATAGATTAGCATAAACATAGATATTATTATTTCATCATCATCATCTGATTCTAAAAATTCAAAAGAAGTTCAAAATCAGATGAATTAACATTACCATGGCCCAAATATGATAAATATTTTACAGTAGCATTCTGTATTGAAGGAGCTAATTCAATACTTACCGAATATAAAATGTGCCCAAAAAGTATTATATCAGTTTCAAAATCTTCAAGCTTCAATTTAAAACGACATTCGATTGTAATATTAATTATTTTATTTTATATAATAACTAAGTAAAATCATTATAGTCGAAGAGAAAATGCATTTGGGCTATTTGATCCCAACAATAACGACTTAAAATATGGTCAACCATTGATAGACGCAGTATTAAATGGGATTAATAAAAGATAGTAAACCTTATCAAATTAATTACATATATTTTATTTTTTTAAAGATTTGAACATATATATGAAGATCAATATGTTTTTTCTGCAATTATACATCCAGTATTCAAGCTCCAATGACCTTTGAAAAAACTTCCACAGAACGAACCTATAAAAAAATAAACTTATAGCGTTATTGGAAAAATGCATTGAAAACCCTAATATGATAATGCAAGAACTGTTAATTTCGAAGTATCCTTTTTTTTTGACGACGAAGTAGAGGATGGATTAGAGGAGGATAACTTATCTCAATTTTTTGAAGCAAAGGATTAAATAACTATAATAAATTCCCAACGTTAAAAGAGTTGTTTATTAAGTATAATACCGCAATCCCCTTATATGCCCCTGTAAAGCGCGTTTTAAGTATAGCTAATGCCGTAAACTGCCAAGCATTCCTGTCTATTAGATGAAAATTTTGAAAATTAATTGTTATTAAAAATTAAAAGAAAATTTTTTTATAAATAAAAATATCTTTTTATTCGCTATTTCATATTGTATTTATAATTATATTATCAAAATAAAACTAAATTATCTTTTAACATGGCTAATATATTGTGTTAAAATATATAAGACATTTATTTATATTAAATTAATTTTTAAAAAAAAAAATTTATCAAAAAATTTGAACGAACGTGAACGCGTTCGATTTTTGTCAATGAACGTTGAACGCGTTTGATTTTTTTAGAAATGTTTATATATAATCAATATTTAGCCGCGTAAAAATATATAATAATCAAATAATAACAAAAAATAAAACCTCCCCCGCTATGAACTTTCACGGTATAACGGGTAGAAGGTCGCGTTAAATTGTCGTTATAGTTAGAGGCCGTTTTAAAGACCAGAGTCATACTTTTAATCGAGTGGGTATTGGATTCAGTATTGTTATTATTATCCAAACCCCTTTTATCATTTTCAGCCTTCTCAATAATATTGATTTTAAAACCATCAGAGATTAGCGAGTTTGAGCCGTTGATGAGTTCGGTGGCGGAAGCTAGTAAGGATCCCGAACCACCGTTTATTTCGACTAATGTGGGTTTCTGATTATAAAAATTATTGATATTGTTCCTTTCCTGGAAATCGTCCAAATGGCTCTGGCCAATATTAAGGTTTCTTCGCTTCAACTCGTTTTGATCGATATCCTCGTGAACATATTTGCCTTGTTACATATTATTATGTGTGTAAGGTTAGAGGTTATGTTTTTAGTGATAAATCTTCAATTTCATTAAAGTTTATAAAAACTTCCCAAAACCTATTTAAATTTCTTAAAACTAAAGTGTTTAAAATGAATATAAAAAATTGTTATATACGAAGGTCTGATTAAAATCATAAACAAATATATTTAAATGGAAAAAAAATAAAGTAATTATTCAATTTTAACAAATTTGATGTTAAATTTAACAAAAATAGCATTCTTTCTAAAAGGGAACTAAAAAAAATAAAGAAAAAAAATTTAAATATACATTTCTATACCTAATATAGGAATGGTACGTTGAGTGACTATAGATGGAGCCTGCTCTAGGCCTTGCAAATGTCGACGCGGAAAATCGAATATGGTTGGGTTGGCCGGCAAGGCTACCCTCTTAAGCGGCCTTTCATTTAACTGCTGTTGAATATTCTGTGGGTAATTTTTTTTTAAATTTTAAACTTTGAGGGTCTTATTATATCAAATGATGAAAGAAAAATAATGTAAAATAGTTAAGAACTTATAAATAAATATAATGTATTACGCGAATACACTATATTATATAAATAAATCTATTACCCGAAATTTTTTAAAATTATATAAGACATTTTTACGTTTTCTTACCACAATATAGATATACTCATAATATAGTCATACCAGAGCCCTGCATCAGATCTGCTTTGGCAAATGACCCGGCAATATAAAATTTAGATTTTTATCCGAGTCCGTCTGGACCAAATGGGATCCAATAGTGCAGGGTTCTATTGTGTACTAAAATAAATTTATATAGAATGGAGCATACATAGTTATTATCGAAATTGCCTTGTGAAGAGCTTAAATTGGCAACCAATTCATTTTGATAAGAGTATGAATCGGGTTGGGCATATTGGTCCTTATCTGTAATAAACAATTTTTAGGAAAATGATAAAAAGGTTTTAATTGTTTATATTTTTTTCTAAATTGTTAATCTTTTTTTTCAAATCCTTACTTCTTTTTCTCTATATTTATTTCATCACTTCCTCCTTTCCTATTTCTTCCTAACCCATTAAAACTATATTTTTATTTGAAATGAGGAAATAAACCTTAGTCGAATAATTAAAATCCCCAGTATTTTTACAAAATTTTCAATATTTTTTTTTAATTTTTACCAGCATAAAATTAATGCGCCAAAATAAATTTAAGTAAAAATAGAATATCAGTATTAAATACAAAATTTGTCAGTATTTTTTTGATAATTAAAAAAAAATAATCATTAAAAATCATAAATTTTGGCCGAAAATAATATTATTTTTGAAATCCAGGTTTGGCTTAAAATTTAAAAAATACAGGCTAGGCTATTAAAAAAAAATTATATCAATTAATAAAGAAATAAATGCTCATTCCTAAATGTCCTGTGGTCATTAAGACACATAGCAATTTTGGACATGAGGCCCACATCTTTTTAAAATCTATAGGGAAAAAGTTTTCAGTGCCATCAGGCGATCCTAGAGATAACTCATATCCGCGCCAGAATATTGGCTTAGAAATTTGCAATCAAATTTTTTATCATTCCATGGTTTTATATAATTTTTACAAAAAAAAATTTTAAATTTTAATTTCATGTCTTTTTATATGGTTTTTACAACATATGTTATATAGTTTCATATGTAAAATTTTTAATATATCTTACTATTTCTGCTTTTAACGCCCCCTTTTGGCTATATATTTATTAAATTTTAAAATTATAAATTAAGATTTGAGACATAATAAGCTATTAAATATATATCCCTTTAATATTCAATAAAAATAGATGTAGGAGAGGCTAGGTGTAGTGTATCTCGGAGCAGATAATTCTTCTCAAATAATTTTAAAACTAATAAATTTTGAAATTTAAACCATAAAAGTATATTAATAAGATTCTTCAATATTTCTAAAAATGTTTTCAGAAATATGCTCATGAAAAGTTTTAAGCAAATTTAAATTTTAGTCAAAAGTTAACTTTTTAATTTTTTACATTTTTACTAATAAATTTTTTTTAAAGTTATTAAGACTAAATATCAATTCTAAACGATAAAGTAATCTAGATTTTAAAATTTACAAAATTATTGACAATATTTATGATAATTTAATATCTTTAAATTAAATATGAAGACCTGGGTAAGGTTTTGGCGGGGTGCGTTCTAGCCATTTTTAAGCAGGGAATATTTTGAGTAAAAAAAATACAACTATATTTATAAGAACATTAAAAGCCATGTCTAGGGTCACGAATGACAATATGAAAAGGAGTGACTTATTTTTTGTAAATTATATAACAATTTTAGGTAACAACATATTCTTCCGGGTGATATATAATATAGGCGAAAGTAAATTTAACATATTTGACAATTTATTTTAATTTATTTACTAGGATTAATATTTCTATAAGAAAAATTAAGAACTATGATATGCAATGCGAAAAGGCAATAAGTGCCCCGGGTGTTTTTTTTAACTCTTAAATTTTCATTTTTTGAAATTTTATATTTTTTATACATTGATATTATTTAAAAACGAATTTAAAACATAGGTCATATAAATAACAATTAATGATTATAAAAATATAGCGCATATATATAAAAATTTAAAAAAATACAGAATAAAATTAAATTAAAAAAAACAATTGCAAGATAGGTTTACTTTAATTGTTAGCAATGAATAATTTGAAGAATAGCCATAAATGGCTTTCTGAAAAAGAAGACTTTATTAAGATCGCCAATTATTTGGCTAATTTTCTCCCTAATAATGCAATACATTTAAAGAATTATTCACTAAAAACACCAGGAGTATTGGTAACAAGTGGGATTAAAATTGTGTTAGCGATGTCTGAATATTTGTTTATTCTCAAGATTTCTGCCGAATTAATTATTACATTTATGTTGGATCGCGCCGAAAAATCGATGATGCATGTGTAATCCCAAGCAACTGGAGGAGCAGAAGGCCAAGGTATTAAGCGGGTACCATCGGGTCTTCTGTTGTTGTTTGAATATAATGATTTGGGTATGGGGTATTTGGGATGCTGGCTTAAGAGCTTTTGAGATTAAATTATTTATGTTTGAAGGCCGTGGGAGGCGGCCTTTGGGATATCTGCAATTTATAGGATAGTGTTCTTTGAATCAGATGGTAGGAATATTAAAAAAATATTTTTAAAAAAACAAAAAATTCCAAATAAAACATAGGGAGATTCGAGATCTCAAAACCCCACGTTCGGATTCCGCCCATTATATATATATTTTTTTAAATAAATGAAAGTTTTAAATACAAAAAAAATCTTAATTAGTTGAATTAATGCTTTATATTTTTAATTTCACTTTTGAAATAATTTGCAAAATACAGCTAAGATTATACAAAATTCTGGGCCTGGTTTTAAAATGATCAAATTTAAAAATCCGGGCCGGTGTAGTATTGTAAAATTAATACTATCTAAAATCAATACGGTATTGATTCTACAATATTGAAAAATTAATCCCGTATTTAATTTATTGCCAAACCTCAACTTTTACGAATAAATCTAAAATATAATTTACAAACTTTGACTTTGAATCGACATTTATAGATAAATCTATAGGATATCAAGAATTGTAAAATAAATAAATTCCCTGAAAAAATTATATAAAAGAATAGAAAATCATTTTTATAATCATTTAAATATATTTAAATCTATTTTAAATTTATTTTAAATAATTTTTTTACAAATCGTAAATGGCCCCCAATATTTTTGAAGCGATGAAAAAATATCTAATAATAAGTATTTTACAATTTTAATGGCCGCCAATATATTTGAAAAGATGAAAAAATATATAATGAATAAATATTTTACAATTTTAATGGCCATCAATATATTTGGAGCGATGAAAACATCTCTTAAAAATCAATATGGTATTGATTCTACAATATCAAAATATCAATACGGTATTGAAGCTACAATGGGTGTTGATTTCAGAATCCTACACCGAGGCAAAAAGTTTAAAAAAAATATATATCAGGCCGAGACTATAAATAAACCAAACTTGAATTTTTTTTCAAATCCAGAATTTAAACCTCTGCAGGTCTATAGTATAAATTTAACTTGATGAGTAAAAAAATAATAATTTGTTCAGTAAAAAAAAAAGAAGTTTCTTTATAACTTTAACTAAAAATGAATTGGATTGTGATAGAGGTCTGAGCCCTAAGAGTGCCCTTTTGCAAATTACATACACTAATCGATGTTCAGAGGGTTACAGATCTGTCCGCGTCTTAGGGCAATAAAACTTTTAACCAACCTATTGAGGTTAGAGAGGTATGGAGTAAGGTTGACATATGGTTTTAACGGTAAATGCCTAGATATTGCAAATTCTGCAGGTTAAAAATCATTTATATTACTCTACATTAATCAAGATTTTTCTTATACTATTAAAACGTCCTTAAAATCAAATAAGTGGATATATTTTGTAGAATAATATTTTACTTTTTAATACTTTTCTCTTTTAGATTTTCTATATTTTTCTTATCATTCGTCAGGTTATAAACCCTTATTTTCATTTTAAATTTTTTTTAGTTGACCGCGCTTTTTCTTACTTTTTATAGTAATTAGTGTTCATTTTACCTAATTACTTTATATTATTTTAAAATTGGGTTTTTAATTGAAAAAAGAGAATTCCTGTTGTGATTGCATTATTTCGATTTGCTTATAAATTTGAATATTTACGAAAAATAATTTTTTTTATATAAAATTGAATTTGAATATGTATATTGTTAATAAGACGAGTATTATATTATGATGGTTTTTAATTTATTTGGTTTTGTTTGATATAAATTTTTGAATAATGATGTAAAGTTCATTATAATGAGACGAAATTTTAAGTTATAATCGGATGATGTTAATTTGATATAAAAGACACCATTTTTATAATTAAAAGCATTTCCACTTTTTTAATTTTTTTTACTTTCACTTAATTTTTCGCATATAATTTTTAGTATTTTTATATTTTTACTTTTTTATTTTTTTGGTTATGTTTTATTTTTATATTATTATATAATTTATAATTAATTTTTGGTATTAGTATTTAATAAAGGATTCAAAACTATAATTTTAGTATATATTTTTATTTATTTTATTTTTTTAAGTTCCAACTTCCTTGATATGACAGTTCATCCCAACTGTGACAGTTTATTATATAATTAGTAAAATCATTTATATATATATATATTCCTGATATGTTTTACATATTTAATATTTAAATAATATAAATAAATAATTATATTTCATCTATAAAAATCTTTTGATGAAATTATTATAAAAATAAGTAGCTAATAAATGTAGGGTCAATTTAAAAAAACTAGATATAAAACGACAGTTTTGTTATTTCACTGAAAAAATAATTTATAAAAATACTGGTAATTTTCGAATAAAATACGGAAGAAATGAATAACCATATTATAAATATTCCCTTTTCTTCTTTTTTTCTTTCCGATATTATAACCAAAAATATTAATTATAAATAAAATTGTAACCGCAAAAGTTCATGCAGACTGGTTTGATCGATATGGGTTCGAAGTAAGGGTAGAAATTTTCTCTGTCAGAACCACTAAAATTTCTCCTGCCAGCGAAAGATATCAAATAATCCATGGCCTCGAACGATTTTCGGTAAGATGGCATAAAAAAGTAAAAGCAATCATTCGAATCATCGGGCGATGATGACAGGAATATGTCTTGTTCTGTATATAAGGAAAATGCGGATTTAACTAAGAAGGAAGTATAAATAATTCATGATTACTAATATGAAACTTCCATCCATCTGATTCTTTCTTTCACAATAAATTTATCCAAAAAACCCTATCTGGAATTTTAATATCGAGATAGAATATTTTTTAAATGAAAATTTAAAAAATCTCTTTTTTTAATGACATCTTAACTTTCAAAAAATATTTCTTTTTTTCATTTTTTTTCCAAAAATATAACATCATAAATTATTATATATTTGGGTTAAAGTTTTGGTTGAAAACTGTTCAAATAAAATAGTAGATCTTTTACATTTGTAAGTAAAAAAGTGTCAAAAATTATAGACAATAGGTCAATCAAGACAAAGGAGTTTAGAAGAAAAGAAGATAGTAAGGAGAACAAGGGAGATGCGAATAACAGGGGAGACTTTTGAATTTACTTTGTTTATATGGATTTATATGCGTATTTATGGGACACGATAAATTTATTATATTGTATAGTTAATAAAATATCTCCGATAAATTCTAGGTATGTGTGTTAAACACTTCCTCCAATATCCCAACTTCTTATACCTAAAAAATATATAAGCAAAATATTCCTCTCCTACTAGTTGATCCTCCATAAACATTAAAAAGTAAGTAAAATATCCCCCATCATCATCCCCATTAATTAACCAAGGCAATTTAATAAATGATAATTCATTTCCTTCCTTTATTTTGATTTTTTTCTTTAAAACTGTTTTGAAAGACGTTTGATAATTACCAGGTTCGTTGGTATTCACGAATGAAGGAGCTGTGAGCCTATTGAATGATAGTACTATTTTCTGTCTTCTAGGCTGGGCTGTCACTAAGGTAATATTACCTATGTCCTCTATACCCACGCTCAATTTTTTCAAGGAGGCCCGAAATATGTCTTGGCTGGTATCCATGTAAAGTGTGGAGCCAAAGTTAGTGGTGAACCTTTTTTTGCAATTTAAAAAGAAAAGATTGTTTTTAGAAAAAAATGATATTTATATTATAGCACAATCAGGAGAAAATGCTAATCGCTTTTATATAAGGGATTTAAGAGAAACATTTATACTCAATTCTAACATAAATTTTAAGCTAAAAAATAAAATAAATTCGGAAACTTATCTTAAGGTGATTATTTTATGTTCAAATGATCATATTCAAATAAAATTATGAACGATTTAAAATGTCTGCTAAGCCCGGCCCGCTCCGGCCCTTTAAGAATTTTTGTACAAATTACCAAGCCTGGCCACAAATTTTTTTGCCAAACCCAGCCCATTTTAATTTTTTTTAAATTACTCAGCCCGGTTCTTGCAGATTTATAGTATGTAGAACTTAGCTTTTATAATTACTTTTTTGAACTCAGTGTCATGCCGGTACAAGAAATTTTTTAAAATCGCCATTCTCAAAAAGAGAAAATTTAGCAATGGCGGACCTAGAAATAAAATTTTTATTTCTCGACATCCCATAGAACCATAAAAAAATAATTTAACAATATTAATATTTTAAAAAAGTTCATTTTATGCATTTCAAAAAAAATTGTTAAGGCAATGATTAAAAAAAAGTAATAAAAATCGACAAATTAATTGGTTAATCTAGGGCTTCCAGATTTTAAAAAAAAACTATCTTAAAAAACTGGGCCTGCCTCGGCTAAATCGGTAGTCGGCCTGATTCTGAATCATGAATTGAACCCGTAAATAAAAATAATATTATTTTGCATAAAGATTTTGATTTACATGTCCGATATCATAGGAGCACCATATCTATCTTTCCAACCCAATACGACATCCGTCGATTTCTAATTTTTTAAAAAAATGATCGAAAGTGAATAATTATGAAAAATGAAATAATGTATAAATTATCATCGCACTAGATAATGGTCGTTCAACAATATCATAAAAAAATTAAAATACAAACTACATTATAATGGTAAGTAGTGATCTGCATCCTAATTTTTCAAGCCCGGCCTGGCCCGGCCCGAAATTTTTTTAAAAAAGTTTTGCCGGCCCGGCCCGAACTTAAAATTTTTCAAAAAAGTTTACCATTTAAATATAGAAATTAATCTTTATAATTACTCAAAATAAAAGACATATGTTATATGTCGTTTAGTTTCAATAAATAAAATCAAATATTTTTATTTTACATAAAAAATTCAATATAAAATTGATAAATTTAGATATATTTAAAAAAATTTCCAAGATCCAACCCGACCCGATATTTGTTTTAAAATATTAGGCCCGGCCCGAACTGTATTATTTTAAATAGAATTAGGCCCGAGCCCGGCCAGGCCCGAACCTCGGGCCGGGCCTAACTTTGCAGATCTCTAATGGTAAGTAAACTTACTGCTCAAATTAAGCTAAATGACCATTATTTTGTGAAATGAAATTTCTCAAAAGTCATTTAGGCTTAACATATGTTTTATATTTTTGTTGAGAGGTATCAAGTTCATTATGCTTAGATTTTAGGCTTATTTAGAGTTATTATAATATTTTCCTTTTTTTAGATTTGTCCCTAATTCGTTAAAATTCAATTTTTTAGCATCAAATATCTTTAAAAAAACACCTAATAATAAAGTGACTAAGTATTTGATTTTAACTTTAGAGAATTTAATCGGAAATATAAATTGTTTTGAAAATAAAATAATATTTTATAGCGAAAATTATTATTTTTTAAAACTCATATAGAGCCCTAAAGGGCTTAAAACTTTTTTACACCATAAGGAAAAGATCAACATTTTATCCGGTAATCCTCTTAATCTTGAATCTTAAACTACTCATTTTATGATATATTTTAATTTAAGAAACTGTATACATAAGAGTCCTTTATTTATATATGTTTTATATGTATTTTTATTTATTTTAAATTTTTTATTGAGTATCTTCTAACAAAAAGTTGATCGATTTTCTAAAGTAGCCCTAATATGTCTACCACGTATTAACCCGTTATTTATAATTAATAACGATTACTTACTAACCCCTCCTCCCTAAACACTATAATATTTTTTTAACCGCCTTAAATGTAAAAAAACCCTCAATTAAAGCGTAAAAAAATTTCTTAATAAAATGGCAAATATAGGAATCTTTATATTGTCACATAATTTATGCTTGTTTTTATAATTTATAAGAATCCAAATTTGCAGTTTGATGTGCGTGCATATATAGATATACTTTATTTAAACTTTGTTTTGGAAAAAAAATTTAACCGATTTGATTTTTGATATAAATTAACAATTACATTTCAAAAAAAAAACATTTTCAAACAAAATTTAAATAAAGCATATCGATACCATAAAATTTAATTGAACTAAAAAAAACATGAAGATAATAATTTATGACATGAATTAGATCGGAATGCATTTTATTTTCTTTTGATGCATTGATAAATTTTCTATCAAACTTATATATATTTCAAGCTATCAAATTAATAGGCGGGGGGAGGGGGATACAAAAAATTTGCCTTTTCCAATAAATACTCTATAATTTTTTTAATAAGATTTTATTTTGAGTCAATGCAAATGCGTTTAAATGTTTGATTAGCCGTTAAAGTTAAACTGACCCTATTAAGGTGTCGCGACATCATAATTCCTGTAAATTGATCCCTACCCCGTCTCTGTCTACTGTTTAACTCAATTGCATCGTAAGCGTCAATATATTTGGTCACGACGTAGGTTACCACGAATCTCCCGTTATTTTTATGTGACCTGTCTCTGTTAACTGTGACAGCGAAATGACAATTAGCTGAGGTGTCCAGACAACCTGGTGGATAGGTAAGTGTTAGGGAATCGCAATTTAATATATCGGGATCTGAGTGGTCCATATAAACCGAGCTACTCGAGGAATTTTGAAGAGAATTAACATTGTCAAGGTTGGTGAGATTAAAGCTAGATATAGGTTGGGATAAATTTTCACGAATCTGGGAATTTTGAGGACTTTCTGTATTTCGAGGTTCATTGTTTGGCGAAGCGTTGTTTTGTCTATCGTTGAAATTCGAATCTGTTAGAGGAGTCGATGACTGAAAAAGTTTGGGATTAGTGGCTGGTAGCGAGTTATGGCGATTTCGCATGTAGTCTTCATAATCCTCTGTAAAATAATAAAATATTAGTAACATGAAAAGGCGAATAATTATGACATTCATTATTACGAAATTTTCAATATTTTTTTTTAATTTTTACTAAAGACTGATACTCTCCTCTCAGTATAAATAATAGAATACCTGTATTAAATAAAAAATTGATAAATATTTTTATTCAGTATAAATATAATTTTATCGATAAAATAATAATTGTTCAGTAAAGAGTTTTTTATAACTAATAATGAATTTGATATTAATACACTGAGCATCCTAAAAACAATGTCCTCTTTTACAAAAAGTTTTTTATTTATTCTCTTAAAATAAAAGTCACTAGCCCTGTTCGAACCGACCTGTGAAAATTTTTTGTCGAAGTTTTTCCGCCCACCTCAAAATTTTTTTCACCCATCTCAGCCCGTATTAATTTTTTATGAAGGAAATCGACATGAATTTGCCTAATAATTCGCTTTAAAAATATTTTAACAGTAAAAATATTTTCTACAATTTGTCTAACTCGGCACTAAAATTTATTTCCTTGCTTACTCGCGAGAGCCAGGCTGCACCGACTTATAATATTTAATAAGAAAGTTATATAAATTAACAATTATATTTCATTTAGGTAGTCAATTTGTTTGTAATATAATTTATTATTAGAAGAAAAAAATTGCAATATTTTTTTAAGCTAGCAACTGTTTTAAATAAACTAAATTCAAATGAACATTAAAAAAATTTAAAATCCCAGGCCGGTCCAGACTCGCAGAAAATATCGTATAAGGCCCATACCCGCCCCGTTGATGATCTCTGGTTTCAATGGTGTTTAGATTTAGAATTGAAAATATTAGGTTTGTTACTGATTCTTAAAATCGTTAATAATTCATTCGAGTGTTATCAGACTTTCTTATTTTTTAGTTAAAAGGGAAACGTAGTCATTTTGTGTTACAGTTTGCCATTTAAAATAGATCCTGAATTTTGATTGGCTACGATTATTGAGTTCAAAATGGTATCATGAGTTATTAATAATAATTTGTTTTAATTTATTATAATTTTTAGCTAAGATGGGTGTGTTAAATTACCGTATGTTTCTCTGTTGTTGTATGTTTGTTATTCATTGAATTTGTTAAGATTTCTTACTTTGTAAATATCTTCGAAAATTTTTTTTAATTGGTAATGATAATTTATTACAAGATAGTAGTAATAAATTGACAAGTATAATAAGGATACATTTTTACAAATTCTCTTTGTTCAATTATTGAAAATGAATGCATTACTTTAACAATAAAGGGAGTTAATAGATTATTAAATATTTTCTAAGATATTGTTTTATTTTCTTATTTGAAAACTGTAGGGTTTTTTAGGTCCGTGAAGTTGGCCCCGCAATTTTTGATTTTCAATGGTTTATCAGTTGGTGTGATTAGTACCCGATTTGTACCGTTTTTAGTTCGATTTGTACCATCACCGTTTTTGAGATATTCAAAGAACAAAATGGGGGGCCAACTTCACGACAGCCCCCCTACTTTTGAACTTAAAAATAAAAAGTGAATAGGTCAATAGAGAATGATTTGTACCGATTTGTACAGTTCGATTTGTACCATCACTGTTTTCCAGCTATTGACCGTTGAAAATATGGCCAAAAATAAAAAACACTCAACATTTATTTTTTAAAAATTTTTTAACGTACAACGGTAGAGAATTTTTTCTTTTCCTAATGATGCCTCAAATTGCTTTATCTTCATTATTTATTTCGGAAATCATATTTTAAACCTTATATTATAGCGTGAAGTTAGCCCCCCCCAATATTCAAAATTTGAGATTTTTCAAATTTTTAAAACGGGATTGATTTGTACCCGATTTGTACCGTTTCAAACTAGATTTGTACTATTATCGTTTTCCAGCTATTGACCGTTAAATATATGGCGCCAAGGTTTAAAATTTGATTTCCGAAATAAATAATAAAGATAAAGCATAATTTGAGGCATCATTAGGAAGATAAAAAAATTCTCTACCGTTGTACGTTAAAAAATTTAAAAAAAATAAATGTTGAGTGTTTTTTATTTGTGGCGCCATATCTTTAACGGCCAATAGCTGGAAAACGGTAATGGTACAAATCGAGTTTGAAATGGTACAAATCGGGTACAAATCAATCCCGTTTTAAAAATTTGAAAAATCTCAAATTTTGAATATTGGGGGGGGGGGGGGGGGCTAACTTCACGCTATAATATAAGGTTTAAAATTTGATTTCCGAAATAAATAATGAAGGTAAAGCTTAATTTGAGGCATCATTAGGAAGAGAAAAAAATTCGCTACCGTTGTATGTTAAAAAATTTTTTAAAAAAATAAATGTTGAGTGTTTTATATTTTTGGCGCCATATCTTTAACGGTCAATAGCTGGAAAACGGTAATGGTACAAATCGAGTTTGAAATGGTACAAATCAATCCCGTTTTAAAAATTTGAAAAATCTCAAATTTTGAATATTGGGGGGGGGCTAACTTCACGCTATAATATAAGGTTTAAAATTTGATTTCCGAAATAAATAATGAAGGTAAAGCTTAATTTGAGGCATGATTAGGAAGAGAAAAAAATTCTCTACCGTTGTACGTTAAAAAATATTTTTAAAAAATAAATGTTGAGTGTTTTTTATTTTTGGCGCCATATCTTTAACGGTCAATAGCTGGAAAACGGTAATGGTACAAATCGAGTTTGAAAGGGTACAAATCGGGTACAAATCAATCCCGTTTTAAAAATTTGAAAAATCTCAAATTTTGAATATTGGGGGGGGGCTAACTTCACGCTATAATATAAGGTTTAAAATTTGATTTCCGAAATAAATAATGAATATAAAGCTTAATTTGAGGCATCATTAGGAAGAGAAAAAAATTCTCTACCGTTGTACGTTAAAAAATTTTTAAAAAAATAAATGTTGAGTGTTTTTTATTTTTGGCGCCATATCTTTAACGGTCAATAGCTGGAAAACGGTAATGGTACAAATCGAGTTTGAAACGGTACAAATCGGGTACAAATCAATCCCGTTTTAAAAATTTAAAAAATCTCAAATTTTGAATATTAGGGGGGGGGCTAACTTCACGCTATAATATAAGGTTTAAAATTTGATTTCCGAAATAAATAATGAAGATAAAGCTTAATTTGAGGCATCATTAGGAAGAGAAAAAAATTCTCTACCGTTGTACGTTAAAAAAATTTTTAAAAAAATAAATGTTGAGTGTTTTTTATTTTTGGCGCCATATTTTCAACGGTCAATAGCTGGAAAACGGTGATGGTACAAATCGAACTGAAAACGGTACAAATCATTCTCTATCGACCTATTCACTTTTTATTTTTAAGTTCAAAAGTTGGGGGGCTGTCGTGAAGTTGACCCCCATTTTGTTCTTTGAATATCTCAAAAACGGTGATGGTACAAATCGAACTGAAAACGGTACAAATCGGGTACTTATCACACCAACTGATAAACCATTGAAAATCAAAAATTGCGGGGCCAACTTCACGGACCTGGGTTTTTTGAATTAATGATTTTGAAGTTTCCACAATTTCTTCTTGTTTTTTCTGTTTGTGTAATACTTTAAGATTTATGTAATTTAATATGATTCTAGATGACGCCTAAAAAAATAAAATATTTTAGATTTTTTTTTATTATTATACTTTTATTCTTAATATATTTTATCAATATTATTCTTATTCTTTTTAATTCTAAATGAACATAAAAATTTATTTAAAAAAAATTATTAAATTTAGCAAATGAATGATATGAAATGAATATCATTATAAAACGTGATTTTTAATAAAATTATATAATATACTTCTAGATGCTTGACGATATTAGTTCACGAGTCTGCAGAGCCACTTATAAATTTGTGCCATTCTTTACACTCTGCACTGCAGTAATTTTATTATTGGTATTAGTATGTTGATGTTGAGTGATTTCAAAAAAATTTCCATTTAATATGCTTAATTTATTTTTAATTGTATTCCTTTTATGTAGCATTGATTTTATAATTTTATCTTCGATTACTCGGGTCAGGTAATTATGGATGTGTGGCGATTTTAATAAAATATGGTAGTTATTTAGCTAATTGCTATATGATGACCAACGTCAAATATCATTATTCTATCTTAAAGTATCTAAACTCGGGTTAGATTTTCATTAGAATTTAAAAATAACATTTTAAATTAACTAATATATACATTTTTTAAAAAAAATCTGTATTTTTTTGAATGCAAAGTTGGTTAAGATACAGATACTTTAAATAATTTGTATCTTGGATACAAGATACAATTGATTTTTTTAAAAAAGATATAAAAGTATAATATTTTAAATACAAATATCCGCGACACTGCCCAACACTGCGGTTAATGAAAGAAAGAGATGTGGGTTAGGGTTGATTAAATGTTTGAGAGATATGGGTTAGGGTTAATTAAATGTTTGAGAGATATGGGTTAGGGTTAATTAAAGGTTTGAGAAATATGGGTTAAGGTATATAAAAATTAGTTTTTAATATTATTAATAACCTGTCAAATCTGACAGCATGTGATTATAACTGGGCAAATAGAATCTTAAATAAAATAGCTGTTTTAGGGCAATTCTTGATGAATCTTAATCATTGAAAAAAATGTCTATTTATATTATCTAGTAACTATTAAAATACCATTAAAAAAAATATATACTTAAAACTTTAAACTGTAATATTATTATTCATATTGGTAAAATTAATAAAATACTGATAATTTTGTTATTATACTGAATATTTTTGATATAAAATACTGGAGAAATAAATAACAACCATATAAAAATAAAACAATTAATCTTTATAAATTACATATAAATACTAAAAAAAATTATAACTCTCGATAAATAATAAAAAAAAATAGGGATCGTAATTATTTTTTTTAAATGATTAGAACGCATAAGTATTTTATTGACAAAAGATTATTATATTTCCGTGGATTATGAAGAAGCAATAGACTTAAATCCCGAAAAAACTTAGGTTGCAGGAACTGCGAGCATTGAAATAACTCCGAAGATTCGTGTTTGACAATCTTATTTAAAAAAAATTCAACTAAAAAAATCTTTTGTTTTTCTCAATACTCACCTTTTAGTCATATTATCATGTTAGTGAGACTTATAAAGTTTTCAATATAATCATCAGCACTTACAAAAATTGGACTGGGAAATGGTAAAGCATTTAAATTTACAACTTCCCTGATCAAAAAAACTTCAAATCGTGGATCAAGATGAACCACAGAATAAAATATATTCTCTCGCTCAGTATAAGAAGCAATGATGCTGAAAATGAGGTATTTATTTTCTTTGTTTTTGGAATACTTTTTAACTAGGCTGTATAAAAATTTTGGAAACTGGAGTTTAAATATAAGATGATTTCAATGATACAACCATGCTACTATATAAGTTATTTTAAGATAGATTATACCGAATTCTAAATAAATATTTAATTAAAATTTGTGTCGTGGGCCAGTTGGCCATTACCGGACGCATTTTTGTGCCCACGCATCTAAAACATTTTTTAGACCATTATTATAATAATATGTCTATATAATAATGAAATTATAATATTAAAAAGCTAATAATTTTAAATATTTTTATTTCAACACATGTTCATCATCATTGCAGAAGTGAATTTGAGTTCGAGGCAAATCAGATAAAATTCCTAGATGAAATAGATCTAACATCTGATATATTAAATCTTGATAACGCCGATCCTTACCCTGATAACCGTTTTCCATTTGGTGATTCTAATGATTAATAATAATCAAAATACCTTAAAATTAATGTCCTAACTATGGCACACTATATTAGTTATGCTTAAAATAATTTCCAGAGCTCATAAAAATCCGTTAATAGTATATTAAAAAGAATAAAACATTATCTTCAACTTTAAAACTACGAATTGGATCTAGTGGAAGCTAACTAATATTTCTTTTAAAATTTAAGAAATAATTAAATTTCTTTCATCACAAATGGGGTTTGAATTTGGCATTATTTTTCGGAAGTGAAATAGAATAAAGAAATTTATTTATTAATAATGATTGTTATTTCATTTAAGAAAAATATGTTTAAAAAATATAACTTTAAATTTCTCTTAGATTTACTTTTTTATTTCATAATTATTTCATTTCTTTATTAGACCACCAATTTCAAAAATCAAACATTGTATCAAAATATATGGTAAAACAAGATTGTAAATCCACTGTATTACTTAAACTACTTGAGAACAATAATACACAATAAGTAAACATAGAAAATTAACATATAGTAAATACAAGTTATCTAGCAAAATTAACTTAGCAAGTAAACATTCAATGACTTGGCATATCTACGAAAATTGTGTTCTCGTAAAAATCATTTTAAGCTAATAAAAAAAATTCGCCTACCCTAAAAATGTATAAAATATAGCACTATAAACAGTAATTTGAAAGAATAATAAGTAAAAGATAACAATTTTTTAAAATAACCACTATAATTCAAAAATTTTTGAAACATTTTTATAAAAAAGGGAAAACTCAAAATTGTTTTTATAAAAATGAAACATAGCTAAAGCCTATGATAGATGGACCTAAAGACCTATATAATTATTTCTTTCTTTCTTTCTTTCTTTCTTTCTTTCTTTCTTTCTTTCTTTCTTTCTTTCTTTCTTTCTTTCTTTCTTTCTTATAAGAAAGTGCTACAATAAAATTTATTTATTTTGTATTTACTTATGAAATTTATGCTGGCGACTCCCATGTCCAAGTTCCTAATATCCCTGAGCATGAATAAATCTTCGCTATTCATATAAGAATTAGTGTTCCCGTCTAGATCTCTGATAGGTTAATATTGTTATTAAAATAAATTATATTCTTTTTTCTTTTGTCAATTGATCAGAAATAACGAAAGAAATATAAAATATAGATCTACCCTGCTAGGCCTGTAAATATTTTTTTTTCTCTTAATTGCCCGGGCAATATTTTCACCAAGAAATTATGAAAAATCTCTTCGATTAAAAAAATTTAGTCAACTATTTGTAATAGTGTAAATAATTTCGAAAATTAAAAAAAGGTACGACTTGTTATAAAGAAAATTTTAAAGGAGATTAAAAAAACTTTTTAAAATTTGTATAAATTAAGAATTTAAATCAAGACATTTGTTAAGTGTTTGTAAATCCTAAGTGGTTTGAGAAATTCGACAGTGATAAAATTTTGCGGGTAGGTTACAAACTTGTAACCTAGCCAACGGGGGTTTAAAAAGTATAATATTATCAATGTTAACAAACCTTCTACTACGACCCTTGGCCCATATGATATTCATGGTTTGGTTGGATACTTCTATGTCAGCATTATCGTAAACTTATTTTAGTAATTTTTTTAAAAAAATAATGAAATATTTATGTGTTTATACCAACAATTAGAGCCCTTCTTCAGACCTTGCTGGTCCGACCTGGTTCCATTCGCCTACGGATTGGACCAGGTCCGTGTAAGTCTCTGTTAGAAATCACAATTATAAATCTTATCATTGATAATATTTCCATTACAAAAGACACAAAAAATTCCTCTATAAATATAATATAATAATTTTCTATCTACAATTTTCAAAAGACAAAAATTATTGAGTTTTGGGGGTACGTTATTATAAATTAAAAAGTCGAAAATATGGTTTTAATATTATTATAATTAGATAATAAATTTTTCGGTTTTTAAATAATAAATTGCAATTGAATCAAAATAACAGTATAATATTTTTATTAAATGGGCATTTTAAAAATAAGGGGTATTTAAACTTTTTATCAGTAGGGGAGCTTTCATTTTTTGAATCCTAACTTTAAAAATGGATTTAAATAACTCAGGCACAACTGTAATGAAACCAATTGAGGATTATTGCCCAGATGATTTTTCTAATTAATAATTTTTTAAATTTCTAGTTATATTTAAAAATTGATATTACAATAAAACGTATTTATATAGTGGTAGCTAGTAAGGTAATAGAGAAAACAACTCTCATTCACCATACTAAAATGTTAAAAATGTATATTTTCGTAATTTTTGTCCCCAATCTTAATTATTTAATTACAAAATAAATGCTAAAGATGGAGATAACGAATAAATTAAATAATAAAATAAACCTCTCAACTTTTTCTTGAAATACACAAAAGTTACACCATTTTCTTCGTGCGTGCTGGCATCTAAAATGTTATCCCTTCCCCGAGGTGCCCTTGTAGATCCAGAAAATTTAAAACTTTTATCGATTCCACTGAAATCGAATACTCCCTCTGAAACTATTTTAAAATTTTATAAATAAAATATAAATTAACTTTATATATTAAGATGTTTAAATTTATGTTTTTCTAAGTAATGGTAGGCTTTGAGGTAGATGTGCACTGGTGAAGTGGACTCGCGAGATATCTAAAAATCTAGGTGAGTCTTTTCAGAATATCTATCAATTTTCATTCATATCAAATAGAATATTCTAGAACCTACTTAAACCTAAAATTCATTTCTTTTACAATATGATTTGAAATGGTATTTAAAATTTCTATTGTTACTATATACATATTACATATAAATTAACAATTATTTTCTTAATTCTTATAAAAGTTCTATATCCTATTTGTACTAAATTTGTAACAAATAAAATGATAAAAACTGAACATAATATCAGAGTTGTTAAGGAGCGGCGCTCTACATTTTTTTAAAAACACCTGGAGTGCCCCTCTTTTTAAAATTGGGGAGCGGGAGCTAGCTCCTTTTAGGACTGGAGAGGAGGAGCGCAGCTCCACCGCTCCTTTAAATTTAATATATAAATTAAATTATTTTTTAAATATTAATAATATTTTTTTAATTAAAATTCAATAAAAATAAAATTTTATTTAATTTAAATTTATCCATTATTAAATGTTTAGCCGAGTTTTATATTGGTTTTTCATCTAATCATTTTAAATATTAAATATCAAGTTTTCCTTTTTATATTCAAAATTTTTTGGAAAATCTTGTAAGTCATATTAATATTCATTTTATAGATATATAATAAAAAATAGTAGGGATGTACCGAATATTTTTTATCAGATCGGATCGGGCGGCTATTTCACCTATTATAAAATATCGGTTATCGGTCAATATTATAAAATTTGCCGATCCTATCCGATATAAAATGGCGTCCTTAACAAAAATAAAATGTTATAAATTTAAAAAAAGTTATATCTAATATCATTTATTTTTATTCGAAATCCATATTTTTTAAATAATAATAATTAATTAATAAACATTCTGCCATATTGTTATTTTTTTGCGCATTCTGTTTATAAAAGTGTGCGATAATCTATTCAGAATCTGTTTTTAGTGAAGCTGGTGATATTGACAGTTACCATCGCCGCAACCTGATTTCTGATAAATTGGAAATTTTGATATTTCTGAAAAGAAATCTTCAATATATTAATGTTAAATATTATTTTAAATATTTATTTAAATTTCATAATATATTTGTTTATTACTTATTATGTGTATAGATTAATGTTGTTACTTATTATATAAAAGTGATTTATAATAAAAATATTTTATATACTTTTAGGCAATAGAATTGAATATAAACTATAACTGATCATTATAATATATTTAAATGATATAAGTTATAATTAAATTATAGATGTTATACTAATAAAAAGTATAATACAAATTAAAACCATTGGTATCTTTACAGAATACAAAATTAGGTTATCGGATCGGTTATCGGCCGATATCAATTTAATATCTGGAATATCCGATCGGATCGGCCTCTAAAAAGTGGTATCGGTACACCCCTAAATAATAGTTCTAGATATTATAGATTTAGAGATCATAGATGAAGAAATCAGATTTCCATTTCCATCATACAAAAAATATTTTAAACTTCTAAAAGATGTTGATCCAAATGATCAAACAAATTTAAGGACAAAATGTCTTTTGTGTTTAAATAAAACTATTTAATTTTCAAAAGTGAGCAGCTTCAATCTAAAAAGCATCTAAAAATAAAAATCTTTCTTTTAAATACAAATTAATTTGGAAGATTTTTTTGGATTCCATGAAATTGATCATCAGGAAGATAATATATTGGACAAATATTATTTAAATAATGATACCAAAATTACTATTTTTAATAAATTCCCTGAATTAAAAAATATCTTTATAAAATGCAATACCCTGCTTACCTCTAGTGCTCCTGTGGAGTACCTATTTAGTATTGCAAAACAGGTCTTAGAGGAGAGGCGTTGATGTTTGTTAGATTCTAATTTAGAAAATTTATTACTTTTAAAAGCTAATAAAAGGTAATAGATATTTTGATAGATCATTTAATATAAATAAAGCTTTTTGATAAAAAAAATATGATTTTGTTTCGTATACCTTCTAAAATAATGAAAATCAAAGGAGCGGTTATGGAGTGGCACTCCATTACTTGGAGCGGGAGCTAGCTCCTTTTAAAAATGTAGTAGCAGGAGCGGGAGCTAGCTCCTTTTGAGAAGTTTTAAGCGGGAGCTAGCTACTTTTAAATAGGAGAGTTAACAACTCTGCATAACACACATTTCTATTAATACCATTATTTTGGATGGGGTCGGAAGATCCAAAATCGAAAACTCGGTAAGGAGTAAAGAAATCAAAAACCCGGTTTAAGTTATCTTCACGCGAACATGCTAATATTGTATCGTAACAGCTCATCTTTTCTTCTTTTTAAAAAAAGTATATATGTTTTTATATTTATTAAATAAGGAGAATAAAAATGGCAAATTGATATTTAAATTTATTATTATACTGGTATACTATAACATTTACGCTATCCTTCTCAAAATCTTAAATAAATCATTTAATAAAAATATTGCCAAATATTTATTTTAAAATTCTTCTTATGCCCAAATATTAGTTATTTACACCCCCTCCCCACCCCCTTCCTTCTTTTGAAATGATATATATTTACTATTTATTTAAGCTTTCGTATATCACATAATATTTTAAAAAAATTATTAAATTTTATTTGATAAATAGAACCCTTTTTTAAATGAATGATTTCTATTCATAAAAATAAAAAAATATATAGTTTCATACATTTACAAGGATACTTCAATATGAAAATGTAATCTACTTACGATAAACTGTATAAAAATAAATAGATAACATTCGAGGTAGGTCAAATTTTCTGAAATAAATCTAATTTTAACAAATTCCAGTTGAAAAATAGCATGATAAAATATTTAAATATTCATTCACTTCTCAGCTTGCTTACTGATTGAAAACCATAAACAAAAATTGAGAATGACCAAATTTTAAAATTCCGGTCCTAAAAATATATATATTGAAAAATAGCAGAGCAGGCCAGAATAAAAAATATATAAGTTTTTGAAAATTATAAACAGAATGAGCAGAAACTAAAATTAATAAATGTTAAGCTTGAATGAGAAACCCTAAAAATATTAATATTTAAAACTATTAGAGATAGTCAGTTATTCCAATTTTACATTACATTAATTACAATACAACTAATAACACTTATAAATCAATAATAAATCATTAATTTATATATTTTTTTATTTCGATAAATACATTTTACCTTGTCTAGCATTTCTTCGGGAAACGAATTTATCGTTCACAAACCCACAATTTTGTAACGTATCTTTGTGGTAAGAAAAATAATAAATAATAGTGAGAGGTTAAATGTTATAATTCATACTTGTCTCTTTTTCTTTTCCTTAATATTAAATACCAAAAATTACTAATTTTAAACAATATATATATTAATATATATTATAATTTAATAAATTTTGTATAAACATTTTAAGAGATAATCCCTCTATAGCTCAGTTCTTAATTATTGTCTAAGAAACCAGGGGTTATCATCTCATTCAAACCTCACACTTTTTGCTAAATTTGAAAATTACGCCAAGAGGCTGGCTGATATCAAACCTCGCTTTAAAATATTGAGCAAATAAACAGTAATGGGTCAAAAAAAGAGTAATGAAATCAATAAGTAGATGAAAGTGATACAGGTAATAATGTATTATAACACATATAGAATTAAAATCAAATACCTTTGGGTGCCCAACCGAACAAAATCCAAGATTTAGTATCGGCAACGATAATGACTTCTAATTCTCCGGTTAACTATTATATGTATATTTAAAGAAATAATTCATTTAAAAAAGGATTATGTGAATGATTGATGATGTTTATAAAGATTCTAAGGTATATTGGTGAATGGGTATGAATAGATTGATATGAAAAATAAGGATCAAAAAACTATATAAGATTATTTGATATTAATATAAATATCAAATTCAAAATCATATGCATGCAAATGCGAAGGATATAATAATAAAGGAAAGACTTCGAGTAATTCTTTAAGATAAAGCTATATTCCGTTGTATAAAAATCTAATCTATGTTTGATATTAAAATATATCTGGTATAAAAACGCTATAACTATTCTGATGTTTCATCAATTATTCTTAGCAAACATATTGAATAGTTTCGACATTTTATATAAAAAATTGCGTGCAAATAGCGTTAAAATGTTAAATTTCATCATTTTTTTAAAGATTATATTTACTTCTAGAATTTTCCAATAAATTTGAAACCCAGGATCCAATCTCACGGAGGCCATATTGATAGGGTTTATAGATTTAGCTAAAGATTCTGCGAAAGTTTAATACACAAAATATTTTTTTAATTATATTTTTTTGCATTAACATTCATTTATTTTCAATATACTTAAATGTTTCCTACTTGTGTACATAGGAATAATTGTTCCATTATATTTATTTCAGTGATATTATTGTAGTAAAAGGGAGAACAAATATCTAATCTTTCTTTTTGATAAATTTACTTTCTTTTTATCCTTTCTCCCTAATAATTTTTGTTAAGAATTATCATTTATCATATATCCTTTTTTTACAACTTTTTTTTTATCTGTTTCATCTTCCATTTATCTTTTTATCATTCTTATCTATTCCTAAATCCGGTTAAATTTTGAGGAAAAGATTCCATCAATTAGTGTGCCATTGTTTTACACCATTTATTTATATTTTTTCTTTTAACGATATTTTTTGTGTTTTTTTCTATTTTTTAATTTAATTCTTTTTTTTAAACTTATTTCTTATATATTATTACTTCTCCTACAAGATGGACCAAACCATCCATCTTTACAAAAGCATACTCCCCTAGGTGATATGACGTGGGAAGAATAAAAATCCTTGTTCCTTTTCTCGTTGGTTTGCGTGATGGCGGCGGAAGAAATCACGTCTACGCATTTACCATTATCGTAACAATCACTAGATTCGTAACATTCATCTTGCGAATTATAAGAATGCACATTGTGTTATTTAATAATATTAATTTATAAATATTCTTTTATTGATATAGATATTGATTCCAGATATAATACCGGATCTGAAAGTAATCGAATCATGGTGTTCCGTATCTTAATATAAATATAATATACAGAGTCAGTTCAATCTTAATACAAATATAATATACAGAGTCAATCTATGATAAGGCTAGCTAGACAATAGAAGAAAGATCGTTCCTATTTATTATTTTTATCTTGAAATTGTCTTACATTTTATGGAAATGTTGGATAAAAATGGGTTAGATAAAAAAAATTAACTTTCGTAACAAATTAAATTCAGTCTCATTAGTAATAATTTGTTAAATTCTTAAAATCAAAACTTTACGTGACAAATAATTATTTTAGGGATGTGCCGATCCACAAAATTTTGACCGATAAGATATTACTACAAACCCGATTCGATAAACGATACCGATCCGGAATTATATTGATTTTTTTTCACCAACTTTCTTTGGATCAAATGTCATAAAAATATTAATATTTTCTATTCAAAAGAATCTAACTAACTTTCACGAATGATTAGCATATTTTTATTTGGCAAACGTTAATTATCTCATTTAAAATATGATGTTTATGCTGAATGTAGTGCTATTCACGCCTCGATTTCACCGATTTTTAAAAAAAAGCTAAATCAAGATTTTCGCCAAAATATTAGTACATAAGATCAAAATTTCGAGAATGGATGTCCAAACTTTTTGCTATCTGTGGGCGTGGGCTAGATCTAGAAGCTTGGGTAATTTAATTTTGCTAAAATCTTGAGTTAAACATTTTCGAAAATTGGCGAAATAGAGCCGTTTAACAACACTAGTTGAATGCAGTAACAAATAAAAGTTATTATATATGCGATCCTAAAAACCAAAAACAATGAAAATATCTGATTGATTTTTTTTTAAATATCGGCTCGATCTAATATTTTTAAAAACGCTAAATATCGGTTCCAATCCCATCTGAATTAAATTTTGGCACAGCCCATATTATTTTATATATCAAAAATTAAAAGTACGGTTAGAACCTATTAAGCAAAAAATAATAATATTATAACTACTTGAAATATTTATGAAACTTGAAAATAAATTTTAAAAGAATTTAACTTAATTAATTTTGTTAAACGGACCAACTCGGGTCAATTTTAAAAAGGGCCGATTAAGATTATAATTAAAATAATATTATGTAAGCCTGGAGATTTTTCTCATAGATGGCAGAAAGGTTTGGACATCTATTTGCCAATTCCAGAGGCTTATATAATATTATTTTAGCTATATAATCTTAATCTGAGCGTTTTTAAAAATCGACCTTAATCGGGCTTTTTAGCAATACAAACTTTAGTTATAATGTGGCAAACATCATCTAAGATAATAAAACTGCTTAAATATTATCTTTTTCCTTTCTTTCTTTATCGCCTTTTTCTAATCATTCTCCAAAATATTAATTATGAACCTTTGTATTGACAATATTTGCCGGAATATAACCAATCACAAACGCATTCCTTTCCACTATCAGTCTCGGTATAAATACCTCTGTTTGAGCAATTGACTAAACCTTCATCTATTTATTTATTTAAATATTATTCTTAAAATATCTTGCAGTTTTGTCACTTTATTAAGATTTTGATGAGAAATTCAATGATTTCGCTATATGAAGGGGGAATGGTAAAGTAGGGTTAAAAAGGATGGTTTGATCTCCTATATTAAATGATTGCTATCTTTTAACTTATTGTTTGATTTAAATTATTTTACAGTAGCGTATTTATTCGGGGGGGGGGGGGCAAAGCGAAATACATTTTATAAAAGTATATTTATCAAGATTCATTTGTAGCTGTTAATTTATTTTACGTTTTAACTTATATTAAATTTTTTGTATTAGAATATGAAATATCTGTCCGAGTTTATTTCTTTCCTATTTAAGACAAGTTTTATTTACACAATGCATGACCAGAAAATATGGTATCGATAAATATTTATATATTATAAATTTTTAAATGATTAATATTAATGATACTGATGAAGAAGAAACAATCAACACCAGCATCAGCAAATTTTTTAAATTGGACTTGGTTTTAAATGCCAATCCCCCCCCCGGATAAATTCTGGCTATGGCACTGATAGGAACACAAAGTTTTTATCAATAAAACATGTGTCGATTAAATGGAATTTTAGATTAATTTAATATTTTTAAATTAATTTAATATTTTATGGCATAGCGCCGTAACCAGAATTTATTCATGGAGGAGGGTGAGGGGGGGGGGTTCAAAAATTAATCGGTGCGACACCTTCGGCCGGGCCCTCCTTTAAAAGATTACATATTATTAATTTTTCCTAGGTTATCTTTATATCATTTCCATTAAAGTTAGCTGAACAATTTGAAGTACTAATTCTAAAATATGACAAAGTGTGCTTTAATAGTGTCTGACTTTAACCACTATAGTAGTCAGCACAAGTGAAAAAAAAATTAATAATAAAATTTGGCCATCCTTAGATAAAAGTGAATGAAAGCATTATTCTGAAAATTTTATCAATGTTTAGCGCTCAATTGTAAATTAATTTAATGCGTTTGGTAGTAGACAGTAGAGAGAAAAAGAATTGGCAATATGCTAGAATGGAAAAAATAAAAACTATATATCAGGCGTAAGCTAATATTTACTGCCTGACTAGAACTTTCAATTCCTCAATTAAATATGAGAGACACAAAAAAAAAATTGTTTTAAAAAATGAAAACTAAGAAGTCACGCTTTAAATGAAGTTAGCTAAGTTTTTAAAAAATCTGAAGCTTATACCAAATTAAGTAGGTTTATTGGAACACTTCATTGTTTTATATTGTTTGGTAGATGGTTTAGAGGGGAAAGAATTATTGGTAAACAATAAAAAATAGTCAAGATTAGCATTATGACAGAACGGAGAATATATAGTTATATAAAACTATCTGGTTTGTGCAAATATCTAGTGCCTTATTTATTAATTCTTTACTCGATTCGCCAGCCATAGTATAACTGAATTACAAAACAAATACAAACTATGATATCACGCTTTAAGCGTAAATTCATCCAAAGATATAAAAGCATTTTCTTTGATATTTATGTCAATAATTATTGTGTATTTCATACTTTTTAGTGCTTTAACCCATTTGGTATATAGTTTAAAGAAAAACATTATTGGCAAAATAAAAATCTATTACCAAGATTGACACATTTTAGAAGAAAAATGGAAGCAATGAACAATACTTAAGGCATGATTAGTATCTACTAATTCATCAATCAGTTTTCTTAACCAATAAATAAAACGTTATAAACGAAATAAAAACTACCCTTAGGCTGAGTTTTTGACATTTGAGAAATTAGGTGCTAAATTTCCCTCAAATGTTGCTCTCCAGTTACTAATTAAAACCGAAATATAGAAATTTATAACGAAATTATTTAAATTTAAAAAAAATACGAATTATAAATGAAATAGCAGATGGATAATAAAAAAATTTCTAAAAACATTTTAAAAATGGTAGGCAACCAATCATTTTTGACGTAAGCAGCGCTGTAACCGAACATTTGAAATGTTTAATATAATTTATTAAGTTTCAAAAAAATTATATAAAAAATTTCGCAAAAATTAAAGGTGAACGAGCTTTAATGCGGAATATATTTTAATGTGTAAAAAACCAAGTTTGCATCTCTCGGCTCCTCCCACCTTTTATTTAAGTCTAGTTACGCCATTGCTATAAACTAATACTCTTCTTTTTTTAAAAAATTACTTTAAAGCTCCACAAAAATGTTAATAGATAAAAGATTTTCTATCGAGTCAATTAAAGTTTTTCCTTTAATTTAATTTTATCCGGGGAAGGGGGATACATGTATAAGCAGTATTCTCTTTAATTCATAGAAAAAAAACCCTTGTATGTAATGAAGAGTAAAGCTAACTTTCGACTACGATGATCCTTGAGCAAGAATGAGATATGAGCTGATTTTTAGGGATTCGTCGATTGGATGTTTTATTTCCAAATTTGGTAGAGGCTCTCATTATACAATAAGGTTGGCACTTTAAATCTCCAGGAAATTGGATCTCATAAGTAGTAGAACTTTATTTTGTGTTAAATAAATATAAATATATAAAAATATATATATCAAAGACCTCCAGGACTGGCAGAGTATTTGCAAAAACTCAGATATTGATTTCCTACATTATAAGTAATCATTAATTTGGATTACTCACTTATTTTTTTTATTTAAGTTTTTACACTTTTGTAAAATTATTTTATATTGTCAAAAATATTTTTCAATACTTAAATGATACTAGTTAGGAGATGAATTCATTCATTCAATACTCTTACAGGAAAATAAATATTATATAAAATAATTAAAAAGAAAAATTATAAAATTAGTTTATTCACAAAGAATAAAATATCTTTATATAACTGTGCTCAAAAGGTTTAAGTATATGTCCATTTAACTTTTAATTAGTTACAAGAAAATTATAAATATTTATTTTTCCAATTAATTTTATTTTTTAAATTATATATATTAATCAGTTTAAAAATGGCCAAAATTATTCAAAATAATGAAATTTTAAAAATTCCTCATCTACATAAATCAAAGTTTATTGAGTGGCTTACAAGGAGCCCTTTCTTTAAAAAAACATAATTCCTTAAAAGTGAATTAGATATTCAATATGACTCAAACAAGGGGATAATATTACTTGTTATAATATTATAGATTTTGATAGATAAATATTATCTTGTATTTTTTCAAACTAATTTTCACTTTCTACTTTAATTAAACTTTGTTAGGTATTACTTTTAGGTTATATAAACATCCGATCGTTTTCATATTTTGGTGTTTTTACATTCTTGACTTTCAAGTTCGTTAACTAATAATGGGTTAAAAACTTAAGTAAATAAAATATTCAGATTCATTGAAATGATGTAAAATAGAAAAGAATAAACAAAAACAAGTAAAGAAAACATTAGTATTAAGAATAATGTTTGGTATTAATTGATTTCATGAATATGACTCAGACCCAAAAAGAATCAAATCTACTAAACTGGAAAGAACCTATATAATTTCTAGATCTTTAACCAAATCATCAATTTTCTTGAACCGGTTTGAAAAATATTTTAATTTAATACCATTTATTAATATTCTTTATTACTTGGGGAGTATACCTAAAACGAATTCTTTGTTAGTATTCGATTCAATTACGAATAACAAAATATATTCGAAAATTCAAAACGAATACGAATAAGGAAAATATATTATCTGTCTATTAATATTTTATCTAATATTTGTATAATTTAAAATTATTCGTATGTAAATATTCGAAATTATTTACAAATATTCAAAACTTTAAATATATGAAATTATTCTTAAATATTTAACATATTCTTGCGGAACTTTTTATTTTTTTTCACCTCTAAAAATCACTTTTTAAATTTAATAATCCATTTTTTCTTTGTAAGTATTTTTAAAAAATTTAATTTTTGAATCGAATAATGTTTTCATTGTTCGTAAGACTACGAATAAGGAATTATTAGATTCGTACCAAATATTCAATTTCATTTGTATTTTAGGTATTTTGAGGAATTATTAAATGGAATTAAACTAATAATTGGTAGTAAGGCTACTCTAGCCAATAATTTTAAAAAAATGAGCAATTTGCGAGCAAAATGGGTTTGTTGCGAATAAAATTGCGAATTTTAGTCGCTTGGTAGGACGACTGCTAAGTAATTTTATGGTGAGTCACCTTGACCTAATATAATCAAAATATATAAATTTTTAAAAATATTTATGATCATCTTGAAGTGACAAGTTATAGCGTTTCCGGATTATACTCCTAGCTTAATTTAGCGTTTGCGCAAAACTTTATGAGACTTAAAAACATAATTATTAAACGCTGATATATTTTTTATGGAGACCAAATTAGGAATATCTAATTTTTTTTCTATCCCACATGCCTTAAAAAGGGTTAGGAACGTGTGAGATGTGATAGCTCTCAATTTCAACTATAATATAAAAATGTACTCACTCTTCATCTGGCAAGAAAACGAGATTTTTATCAAAATTGGAGGATTCGATTTTATGAGTCAACGGGTATACGATAGATGGTTGTAAATGGTTCCATATTTCTAAACTGAGTCCTTCCTATGTTTGTTTTTTAAAATAAAATACGTTTTATTTGGTTGATTCCTCAAATTTGATAAGAAGAAAATAAAATTCAGTTTATGTGAAGTAGGGCTGTGCCGATATTAGATATCGGATCGGCAACGATATAGCGTTTTCCAAAAATATTGTGGGATCGTACCGATACCCCTAAAAACCGATCCGATCTTTTTACTTTTTTTTTTATTTTATGTTATGTTTATGTATATTTATTTTACAATATTATAATATTTTCTAAATAATTTTTTTTTTAAACAATGCAATGCAAATGCACAACTCCCTCTAAATTTTATTCCTTTATTAAAATGGATTTATAGTATTTTAAAAGTTTTTTTATAAAAATAGAAATCATTATTTTAAATCTTTTTAAATAATAACGCCAATTTTATTATTTATAACTTTAAATAAAAGATTTTTTTAAAATATGGTATCTGACTGAATTATGGAATACAAAAGACAAAGATAATTTTGCAAAATGCGTTATCTGCGGAATCATCTGAGTCTGCCTTCAGTACGGCAGGGAATATAGATAGTCCATATCATAGAAGCTTATTACCAGAAAATCTAGAGGCTCTCATATTTATTTTAAAAAATTTAATATATTATAATTTTATTATTAAATATTACAATTTTATAATTCATACCAACATAAAATGGATATATTATTAGATATATTTATTTAAATGTAGAATTAAAAAAATTAAATTAAATGCATAATTCGATTTTTTGCATAAAAAATATTGATTTTTTAATTACATTAGGTTCAATAGGGGGGGGGTGAAAATCAGTATAAATATCGGATCGGTATAGGATCCGTTTTGTAGCAATATCGAAAATATTGGATCGGATCGGTGAAAATATATGGATCGTCACAGCCCTAATGTGAAATATATATATATATAAAAGCATGCAGAGAATTTGTGGAATATAACAATATCGAAAAGTGATATTCAATTTCTATATAATGACCGATCATCAATCCATTTTACCAAAAAGTTAGGAGGGGAGGGTTTCTTCTTAAAGGCCGTCCTAGTATCCTCAGATTTTTAGTTAGATATAAGAAAGTTTTGAAATTTTGATCACAATTTTAAATCAGCTTATATTAAAAATATAGGTTTTCTGCATAGTTAAAAAAAGTAGCAATTTATATTATTACGTTGGAAAAGGTGCGATTACAAAGTGAGATATGACGGTCATTAATATATTTACAGGTCTGATTCGACAAGCATTATAATTTTTTAATATGGTTGTGAAATGAATCCAAAGATTTAACTCAAACTGCATTTTACTTTGCTTTCCAGAAAATTGTTACATATTTACCTATGATTTAATTTCATCTCACATCACAGGGATGTACCATCCTGTTACATTATATATTTTAATATTAACCTCTTTTAATATCTAATACAGAAAAATATTTTAAAAATAAAGTAACCTTTAGATAGCTTGTCATCTCCCACGAAACATTTATAGGTACAGAATTAGCCATATAAGTAGAAGGATCGTAGCCTAAATATGTATATTTTAATAAAAGTACTTATAATTAGAGAACTGTATATTTATTTTACAGTATATTTTCTAAATAATTTTTTTAAACAATATAAATGCACAACACCCCTTATTTTATTTATTTTTTAAAATAGATTTATAGTATTTTAAAAGTTTTTTTTATAAAATAGAAAGGAACAAACACCCAAAGTTTTATTTATTTTAAATCTTTTTAAATAATAACGAGAATTTTAATATTTAAACTTTAAATAAAGAATTTTTTTAAATATGGTATCTGAATTATTGAAATATTTTACAAAAGACAAAGATAATTTTGCAAAATGCGTTACTGCGGAATTCTAATTTCACGGGGAGGAATAATGAATAATTCATTTAATACTACCAATATCCATAAACTTCTTTTAATTATTGTAGAAATAAAAAAATTAAATTAAATGCACAATTCGATTTTTTGCATAAAAAATATTGATTTCTTAGTTACATTTGGTTCAAAGGGGGGTGGTGAAAAATCAATATAAATATCGGATCGGTTTGAGCCAATATCGAAAAATATCGGATCGGTGAAAAATATGTGGATCGGCACAGTCCTAATAATAAAATAAACCTTGGCTGCTTTAAGTATAAGATCTAGTAGAAAATTTCAAAAATGCGCTTCCTTTTTAAATATTTTAATAAAAAACTAGCCAAAAAAGGTAGTTAAATTTTTTTTTAATTTTTTGATTCGACTTGGGATTGGGTTTGGTAGCTTCCTGCGTTTTTAGCCCTGCGATATTTAATACATCTTATATATCAAATTTTACCTTAAACTAAGGCTTTTTTTATAAAATCGAAATCTATATTATTTTCAATGATAAAATTTTTGATTATACTAAAATTTATTTAAAATTCTATAATTAAACTTTTAAGCCAGGCCGCATCTGGCCTGACGGACCATGCATTAAGAAAAATTGTTAAAAACATTTTTTTTTAGCGGAAACGGAGTACAAAATAATTCAAATTTTTTTCGAAGGTCAGGACTTAGTTAATAAATAAAAATGATGGTTAATTTAGTTTTTTTATGAAAATTTTTTTTTTATTTCACATCAGTTAAAATAATAGTTAAAAAAAACTTATTGTTGAATTATAATAACTATTTTGAAAAATATAGTTAAAAACAAGTATAATGAAATTTTAATTAATTATTGAATGATACCATTCATTATAAATCATTCTCACTTTCAAAACTAATTTTCTTTAAAATCAATTAACAATGTCCTAGTTTTGTCAAAATTATAACGATTTTTCATTCACTATTTAAATAAGAACCTTGTTATAACTGCAAAAACTTCTATCAATAGCATATTATAAATTCATTTTTTCCTTTTTCTTAAATATGGATTAATTGATTAAATAATTTAATAAAATATCATAATATTCTTTTTTATCACTGTTTAAAATTAAAAACAAGCGTATGAAACATTAATAATAAAGAATTTTACATGTATGAAGAAATATTATCATATTTTTTAGAGTTATCACTATGAGTTATACCTTTCTTTCTTTTTCATCTACATTTTTAAATATGTAGGCCTGACTGATTTCTAAAAGCGGGAGAATGAAATAAGCTGGTAATTATTTTTAATTTCTTAGGTGCTTGGTTAAAAATAACACGAAAAACTGAAGACAAAAAACAAAACCATAGATGATATTAAAAAAATTGTATCAAGACCCCTGGACCCTCAACGAATAATTGGTACTTAAATATATTTTCCCCAAAACCCATAATTAACAAATCGTCCGCCCTCTATTCTCCGCCTTATGATTTATAATTTCAATGGGGTGGTCGAAAGAAACATGATTAAGATTTATAAAAAAATCAGATTTTATAAAGAAAACAAAAAAGGTTAAATTTTCAGAGAAATCCACATAAGAAAAAAAATCCGACATTTCCAAAAATTAAGGTTATTTTATTTTTGCTATTAATTTATGCATAATTAAGATTTGTTCAGAAATAAAACCTCCTGAATGAAATATGAGGTTCATTATTTTGTAAAAAAAATGTTAACATATCAGATATTGTAATCAATTAACTCTCATCTTTCTTATGATAAGAATAGGTGCATGCTAAAACTTTAGGCGGCCAAAGGCAAAAATTAATTAGGCGCTCTTTATATCTCAACTTACCTGAGCTTAAAATATTGAACTATGTTCATCATTTTTAAAACGGGATTAGTTAGGTTTTTGAAGATTCAAAATTTTTATTTCCAAATCTTAAAATTAAAGATTGGGTTAAAAAAAATCTTAGTTGATAAATTATTCTTTTATTTCATTAAAATAGTATGCATTAATTTATTTACAGATTTTATAGGTATAATTCTTTCATATATATATATATTATTTTGATTTAATATATTAATGGATATTGAAATTTAAAAAAATTATTCTTCTTTTCTATGTAAATATATATTTCAAAAAACCCCATGAATTTAGTGATACATCGGATAATTTGGGTATAATTTTAGTGCAGATGATTGTATACACTGAGAAGGCTCCATTGAAAATTGTTGAAATTGGTTTTATCATACAATCTCTCAGAGATTTTCAATAGGTTTTCCAGTATTTTTTTTAAACAGAGCAAACTCCTGCTTAAATTTGTTAAATTCCTGTCTGTTTTTCATTCATCCTTCATACATTTTCTTATCACGTTCTCTTCTTCTTCCAATCAGTTCTTGTTCTTTGTCGACCCAAACATTTTCTTGAAACACAATAATTTATATTTTGTAATCATGGAAGTATCATCATCTTCCTCAAAAAATCTTTTCATAATTTCGGTTTCTAAATTTAATACTTGTTTAATAATATGAATAAAACAAAACAATATGGTTGTCATTAAAGGGCTAAAGAAAAGAAAAACTTTAAAAAAATTTCATTTTTTATTGTTCGGTGGACCGAATAATTTCGCCGAATCTAGAATTCGTCAAATCTAAATATTGGACTCGTGAATAAGCAGCTTAGAATATGAATTTGGTAATATTTATACAATAAAATTATAAATAATGTGTTGAAAATTTGATGGCTCTAAAAAGTCTATTTTGGGGAAGTTGCCCTATCCGCTCCCAATTTTAGGACCTGGATATTTGAGCAACAAGATGAAAATGTAAATTAATCATTACCCTGATAAAACTCTATAGCTTAATGATAATAAGACTAGTAATAGTGTGGACAAAGTCTTAAAAAGAATTCTAATGCCTAAATAAAAAAAATAGATTTTTATTGGAATATAATATATTTAGAAAATAAATAATGGAATGGATCAGTGGAAAATTAAACATGTCCGCTGAGATAGCACCTTAGCCGAGCCTACGCTACGCTTTTAAGGGGCTTGTAAATTAAAAGATTATATTAATGAACGAAGTTGTTATTGATGTTTGAACAATAGCAAACTAGATTTTCTGAAAGAAAAATATAGAGCCCCTCTCGTTTATTGCACAGATACAAATGCATAATGTTATTGGCGCATTATATAACATACAAGAAAGAGAAATATTTCCAAAATTTACCAACTAAAATTTTTTAAAAAATTGGAAACGAAAATATGGTTTTATAAGTTAGACACTGTATTGCATGTACTATGTTAGAATAAAATTTTTTTGGCAAACTAGATTTTTTATTTCTCTCGATACTATTGATAATCTCATGGCTCACTTTTTTAAAAAAAATTGTAAATTTCTTAGAAGATGAACGGTATGTGGATTAAAATACACATTATGCAATTAAGGATACAAATTTCAATTTTTTTCACAATAATTATTATTGTACTCTAAACTATAAATGTATATCAGAGACCTGCAGACCCGGCCCTAAACCCGGCCGTATTTTAAATTTTTTAAATAAACCCGGGCCGGGCCTAAAAAAATTTTTTTTAAACATATCCGGGCCGGGCCTAAAAAAATTTTTTTTAAATATATCCGGGCCGGGCCTAAGATTGTTAAACCCGGGCCGGGCCTTAATATTTTTTATAAAAATTTTTACATTATGAGTTAATGGTTATAAGATTATATTATATTATAGTTATGATTAATATAATATTGGGTGATGGTTAACACTACCTAACACCCACAGGATCTAATTATTAATTTCCTGCAAATTTATTCAAAGTATTAATATATTTTTTTATAATTAATATCTAAATTTTTACAACATATTTTACCAAAACAATCAAATAAAGGAATATCTTAAATAAGCCCCAATATTCAAGTATTATTAATATATTTTTTTATTCATATCTAAATTTTTAGAATATATTTTACCAAAACAATCAAATAAAGGAATATCACTTCTTGAAGTTTGTAATACCTTTCAAAGCGAAAAAGGAGAAATAAAATTGATTTTACTTAATATAAAGCATTTTTTAATTGAAAAATTTGTTTTACACAAGTATCATTTTATTTCTCTTTTTCTCTGTCCCAAATTCAAGCAATTACGTATGTAGTCAGGGACAGATCGCAAGATGATGGAAAACTATATAAAAGATTATATTAAATTACAAGAGGCTCAGGAAGTAAATGAAATACCATCGACCAGTCAAATTACGACTGTTGTTAAACAAACTGAATCGTTTTATGACAAATGGGGCGATGGTAATTCTGGTAATATGTCAATACCCGATGATGAATATTATAATTACATAAATAAAAAATAAAAAATAGATGAAACATTTAAGGTGGATAATTTGTTAGAGTGGTGGGCGGCTCATCAAAGTGCTTCAAGTGCAAGCCGTGAGCGGAATTTTTCCATTACGAGAATTCTTGAAGAAAGAAGAAGTAATCTTCAACCTGAAAAGGTAGATATGCTTCTCTTTCTTCTTGATAATTTGTGAATTTTTAATATCTTTCTTGAGTATAGGGTTTCGTCAATCATGCTGGTTTTTTACTTTGCAAACTGTCAAATATTAATTGCAATTATTATATTTACCTTGAGTCATGAAAGTTTTTAGTCCAACATTTTTCATTATTTTTTTTTACAATATTATATAATACAATTATCTTCTTTTGTTAAAAATTTATATTATAAAATAAATTATATTAATATTGTGCAAATAGATTATATTTCCAAAATACTATTTATTATACATGAATTTTTTTAAATAGCGATTTATTTTTATTTTATAAATTAAATAGTAAATTAAATAGTAAATTAAATACAATATATTATATTCTCAAAATATTTTCCATTTTTATAAATTAAATATTAGTTTTATTTTTTTTAAATGCAATATAAAATATAGTATATGCTCAAAATATTATTACCATTTTTATGAATATTAGTTTTATTTTTATAAATGCAATATAAAATAAAGTATATGATCAAAATATTCATTTTTATAAATAACAGTTTTATAATTTTTATAAATTCAATATAATATTCTCAAAATATTAGCTTTTTACATGTATTTTTTAAATAATAAGCGATAATACTCGCTGAAAAATATGGTAGTGAATTTTTGTATATACCAGGTCGAATATAATTTTAAAAAATTCCGAGCCGGGCCTGAAATTTTTTTTTAAAAATATCCTGGCCGGGCTGTAAAAATTTTTTTAAAAAATATCCGAGCCTTAAATTTTTAAATCCGGGCCGTAAAAATTTTTTTTAAAAAATATCCGGGCCGGGCCTGTCCGGGCCTAAAAAATTTAAAACCGGGCCGGGCCGTGCAAATGGTACCTCTGCAGGTCTCTGATATATATAATTCTATTTAAATACAACAAATATTAAATGTTTAAACATTTTAATTTTCATGAAAATCTATAAACAATTATTTGTGGGCGTAAAACATAAATATACACCGCATTTTTTGCAAGTTACTTTTGTTATAAATAAGCATCCTGACATTTTACATTTACCCTTCATATCATTATATTTGGGCCAACTAGCCGTGAGATAGAGATCTGAAAAGTTAGGCTCGGCCCGGCCTTATTCTATTTAAAATAATTGGGTTCGTGCCGGGCTGGGCCTAAAATTTTAAAAAAAAATTTGGGCTGGGTCGGGTCGGACCTTGGAAATTTTTTTAAATATATCTAAATTTATCAATTTTATATTGAATTTTTTATGTAAAATAAAAATATTTGATTTTATTTATTGAAACTAAACGACATATAACATGTCTTTTATTTTGAGTAATTATAAAGATTAATTTCTCTATTTAAATAAATTCGGGCCGGGCTGGGTCGGTAAATTTTTTTTAAAAAAATTTCGGGCCGGGGCGGGCTTGAAAAATTAGGCATGATGCAGATCACTACAGTGAGGTCTTTCCTAATCTCTTCATTTGGTAAATATTGGGCTGGTCCTTTTTTACATTTTTCCCGATAAGTTTGAACTGATTTTCGTTTTGGTATATTGTTTGAAGTGCATTTGCCATATTTGCAAAGGATTTCCGCCACCGAAATTTTGAAATTGTACAAACTTAATCGATCCTTGTGTGCTATTGATATACTATTACAATCACGTTTATATAGCAAACATGAATTTATAAGTAACATGTCAAATATATGAAATAAAATTTTATGGTACCATTTTCTTGATTTCGTATGAATTCTATATAAGGAAAGTAAAGAATCCGTGACATCTACACCTCCCATCGATTTGTTATAAATTTTAACAATATTTGGGCATTTTATCATGATTTTATCCTTTTTTTTCCTATCATATCTTTCACAGTCTATTAGAGGATATGCAACTACAAAAGTGCTTAATAAACTCACAGCACGATTGTCGTTCCACTTCACTGAATTTAGCTCCACTCCGTTTATTATTGTTTTTTTTTGAAACAAAAAATCCTGGCCCTTTTTTTCAACTCCTTATCTGCTGGGAAGTTTATATTTGGAAGTCGATTACCTCTGACCGGGGCGCGCAAAATATCCCTCTTTTAGCGAATACGACAGCAAATTTGGGGAACAAAACCAGTTATCAAAAAATAATTTATAATTACTTTACTGCTGTATATAAGAAATTAAACGGAGCACAGCATTGCTACTTGCTCCAACATCAGGCAATCCTTTTGCTGGTAGTATTTTCCCAAAATATACTTCAAAATTATGCAGGAGACCATCATCTCTGCATAGTAGAAAGACTTTATAGCCCCATTTTTTGGGTTTTTGAGGGTTATATTGTTTCAACCTGCTCATCCCTTTGTATGGAATAATTTGCTCATCTACGCAAATGTTTTCGCCTATCGAAAAAGATTTTAGTATATTATTGGTTAAAGTTATTAGGGGTCTAATTTTATGAAATGGGTCATGGCCTTCACTTCCAAGTGGAATAAATTTGTCATTATCATTTATATGAATGAATGATTTTATTTGTTCCCAGCGATTAAGGGTCATGACATCTGTAACTTTGGCTTGTCTTGTATTAGTGGCCCAGTACAGACGTGCTCTGGGAAGTTTAATAATTGACATATAATCTCGATAAATTCAAAGGTTTATTGGAATTGCATTGAATGGCATATAAATTTGATTCGTAAACAATAAGAGGTAATAACTCATTGAGATATATATTATTGGTTTTTTAACTTTATCAACCGTTAGAATTTCTCCTTTCCACTTTGGAATAATTAACGGTAAATTTGTTAAGCAATTTTTCCAAACCATTTTTCTCCAAACGATTTCTTTTTCATTATTGATATTTTCTTCTTCTTCCGATTCATCTGTCTCATTGAAATCTAGATATTTATAGATTATATAAGAGCATAAATTTTGAATATACCCAAATCATTATTTTGTGTTGATAGAAACTCCTCATCAGACGTTTCACTTAATTTTGAATCTTCACTATCGTTAGGTATGTTACCACAATTCATAATTCTAAAAATATAAAACTCAAATAAAATACCTTATTTGCATAATGTGTCTTTAAAACCACATATTATTATTACAAAATTTAATTATCAAAAATAATAAATATATATAAAATAATTTCATAAACATTTATTTTTACCTTTTATTATTTAATTTTAATGTTTTGAAATTTGTCATATATATTATTTATCCTTTTCCGATGTGTAGAAAATTGAGAAGAAAAATTTTATGAAAAAATACCCATTTTTAAAATAGGGTTTAATAAAATGCGAAATTAAAAATAAATAATAGATCACGTGGCCCAAATTAACATTCGAATCGAAGATATGGATTGTGGCTTCAAATACACACCAATTAATTTAAAATTTATTTATAGATATTTATTATATAACTTATGGTATGTGGAATGAGATACACAGTATGTAATACAGGGGGTTTGGATAGGCTGTTTGTAAAATTCTTGGAGAAAATTAGTGATATAATTAAGTGATTATTATAATGTATAATTTTCAATATTTAGTGCTGTAAATGAACGCGTTCGTGAACGTTTTTTTGAAAAAAAATGATGACGGCGTTCCTTTTATTTTTGATGAACGAGTTCGAATTTAAAGTCTGTTCAATTTTAAAAACATTTTATTTTTTTATTTGAAAAATTTAATCCGAATTTTTTAAGAAAAAAGTATTATATTTTTTAATCAGCTGTTTTTCCTTTTTAACATTTCAATTTTTTTAACAAGCCATTATTATAGTTTATTAATTTGAATATTATTGTTCATATATTAATTTAATAGATTACAAAAGCATGGATATTATTATTTCATCATCATCATCTGATTTTGAAATACCATAGCCAAATATGAATATATTTTACAGTAACATCCCCATATTGAAGAACTAATTCAATACTTACCAAATGTAAAATATGCCTAAAAAGTATTATATCAGTTTTAAAATCTTAAAGTTCCAATTTAAAACAAAATTTGTAATATTAATTTTTTATCTTATATAATATAACTAAGTAGCCAGTTAATAATTTATTTTAGATTGTTCTAAGTAAAAATCATTAAATTTTAGATATTTTATATATGATAGAAAATGATATCATTTAAAATTTATTTTTAACAGTTTGACTAAACTACAAATGCCAAGGTAAACTGCAAATGCTTAGGTAAAATATTTGATATATTCTCTCTTAATTGGAGCGAGGTTCATTTTCTTATTCTATAAATAACTTATAAAAAATTAAAATCTTAGATATATTCAATAATAAATGAATAAGCATGAAAAAATAATACGCCAACTTGCGGATTTAATATTAATGAAATATAAAATGTAATTATAATTATTTTTAATAAAATTAAAGGATTTAAACTCTTTATTATGAGATAAAAGGAAATACAACTATTAATCATTTTTTTATTGATTATATCTAATAATATAATTTTTATAAGTTATTCATATCATAAGAAATTGAATCTCACTCCAATTAATAGAATATATATCAAAATCTTTTACTTGGGCATTTACAGTTTACCCTGGCATTTGCAGTTTAGTCAAACCCTATTTTTAATGTCATTTTTTAAAATTATAATCTAATCACTATTATTATAATCAAGGATTTTACATTTTAATTGTTAAGTTGAGCACAATTTGAAGTATAAATTAGTGAAGGTCACGGTCCGGTCTTTGGTCCGGACTGAACCGATACCCTCGGACCGGACCGGACCACGATCCCTAAAAAAAGATCGATCCAGACCGTGGTTAACCTAATTTGATTTGTTTTATCATTTTATTAAATATAAGAGTATTATATAAGCAATAAAATTTATCCAATGGTATTGAAAAAAATGATTTTGTGCTTGGTAGAGGGCATATTAAAATTAAGAGTAGATTGTGTTTTTTGAGATATTTTCATTTTCATCATTAGAAGTATATATTTTATGTTTTATCAGATGTCTGCTTAAGGTACCTAATTATTTTATTAAGAATAAGGTTAAGTAATTTTTACAATGAATTATACAGACAGTTTCTTTAAAAAAAAATAGAACTATATAATAACTAAAATATTTTAATAATATTATTGCTTATTTTGATTAATTTATTGCTTAAAAAATTATAAACAATTATTTTGTTACTAGGTGCTGACGATACATTAAATTTGGTACTGCAGTGAACACATACTCTATGTTTTTATTGTGACTATAAGTAAAATGTTTCTTAGACAAACTTATGGTTTTCATATTGAAAAATAAAAATTAACAAAATCTAAAGACTCCTCTAGAAAAATATCATAAAATAAAATATGCAAAAAAATTATATTAATTGTATAGTAAAGCAAACTTAAACAATAATAAAAGACCGGTCCGGACCGCGGTCTGGACCGTAAAAAATAAAAAGATCGGTCCGGACCACGGTCCTCAAGAAAAAGATCTGTCTGACAATCGGTCCGGTCCGATCCCGGTCTAAGACCGATAGGACCGGACCGTTGACCTTCACTAGTATAAATTTATATATTGTAGAGATCATTAACTTTTATATGATATATAAAAGTTTTAATATAAAAATGATTTCTTTGAATCTATTATACCTAGGATTTTATATTTTTATTTACAATATATTATAATATTTATAAAAATATTTAATATAAAACGAGGAAGTAGAGTATGGATTAGAGGAGGTCTCAATTTATTGAAGCATAGGATAAAACAATAAATGTTTTTAATAAATTCCCCTCGTTAAAAGAGTTGTTTATTAAGTATATTACCGCAATCCCCTCATCTTCCCCTGTAGAGCGAGTTTTTAGTATAGATAATGTCGAATTAACTGCCAAGCGTTCCTGTCTATCGGGTGAAAATTTTGAAAAAAAAATTTATTAAAAATAAATAAGAAAAATTTTTTATAAATAAAAATATCTTATTATTCACTATATTATTTTGTATTTATAATTATATTATCAAAATAAAACTATTATTTTTTAACATGGCTAATATATTGTGTTAAAAAATATAAGACATTTATTTATATTAAATTTAATTTAAAAAAAAATTAATCATAAAATTTTGAACGAACGTGAACGCGTTCCTTTTTTTATGAAAGTAAACGTGAATGCGTTCGATTTTTGATTTTTTTAAAATATATTATATTTATTTTTGATTTTTATAGCTAATAATGGCGATTTCAAATATTTGGTTTTAAAATATACAGCCCAGCCAGGCCAGGATATTTTTTTTAAAAATGTTTTTAGACCCACCCGGCCCGTGTATATTTAAAAATATCCGGGGGCCGGTCAGGGCAGGGCTTGCAGGTCTCTGATAAAAATAAAGATTACTCGAAAAATATAAATGATAACGATCAACATTTGATGTCATTAGATAGCCTCTCTTAAAGTGGTATTAAAAAATATATTTTTAGTTCGAAAATATTTGTTTTTTATCACTTCCGGAAAAGATAAATATTTTAGTACCGACGACTAGTTTGAAACTTTGTATATTTATATATATTCATTAAAGTATATTTATGCCACAAAAATTTGACTCCCTGTAAAAAATTGATCTAGATTAATTACTTAAGTATATCTTACGTGCACCAAATATGGCCCAGCCGAGCACGGATTTAAAAGGAATCATTTACCATCCCGAATTTTTAAAATTTTATATTTCTCAACCCGGAACAGGCCTCCGGACAGGACTGCAAATGGTTGATTTTAAAAATTCAGGTATATGGCCTGTTTAAATATAAAAAAAAATATCAATACGGCAGAATAGGATTTATATTTTATTCATGAATTTGTTGAAATATGAAATTTAAGCCACTTCTCGTATCAATGAATTTTTTTGAATCTTCATAAAATACTAGCATAAATTATTGAAAATGTAGGAAATGTTTAAAATGACAAAAATTATAGAAATCGGGCCGGGCTGAAATAATATAATTATATAAACATGTTGAAAAATATAAAATTTAAAAAATCTGGGCCGAGAAATGATTTTTTTCTAGAATAGCCTATTATGTCAGTAGAGAATTATAAAAATAATAACTCAGCTTTTTACACCAACGAAATTTTTTTGATACACTTATCCTATTTTAATGAATATATAGACAAAATTTAAAATTTTCAACTCGTCGCAAGTACAAAAAAATCGGCCTATACCTTTTCCAGATGTCCTAAACCCTGATAATTTTTTTTTTAATATTGATTTCGATCATTTATATTTTTCTGGTAATCTTTATTTTCATGTATTGAAAAATTGAGAAACACGTCTTATTAACACTTAAAAAATCTTCTGGATCTAATAGATCTAAAGCAATAATATTTCGTTCACAATAATCCTCATCACACTAACTATTTTGAAAAATTGAATTTGATTTGAAAGATGTTGACCAAAACTTTTATGATTTATGTGGAATGACCCATGCCCAAAATAGATATTAAATTTTTACAAAAAAACGTGTGGTTCATAAATCTAAAAATGGCATCTAGTAATTTAATAAATCCTATCATAGAACTCATTCCGGTCTTTTTATCAATTATTAAGGACTCTGGATTTCAAAAAATATCTTACATTCCAGTCTATTCGAGCTCAACTGTGTTATGAACAGGAAAAATTTATCCGCAGTTCAATATTCAAGAGAAAATATCAAGATAAATAATGGAGAACTTACAAGCTTAAAAGCGGATGCTATTCAAAAACTTGACAGGTCAATTCTTGGTATAAATATTCAATTTCTATCGAAGCTTACTATATTTTTATCAGAGACTTGCAGAGGTACCATTTACACTTGAGATCTGCAAAAGTAGGGCCCGGCTCGCCGGGTTCGGGCATAATATTTTTTAAGAAAATTCGGGCCGGGTCGGGTCGGACCTTAGAAATTATTTAAAATATATCTAAATTTATCAATTTTATTTTGAATCTTTTATGTAAAATAAAAATATGTGATTTTATTTATAGAAAGTAGACGCCAAATAACAGATATCATTTATTCTGATTAATTATAAAAATTAATTT